TAGGCAAAAAATGGACAAAATAATCGAATGCTGCTTTTTGGATACTTAGAGGTACCTTAAACCTTTATTTTCTAGTTTTATTTTGCCTGTTCTCATAGCATCATTATCAAATATTAAGCAATAAAACTTGACTTCTTTTCAATGATTACAGCTGCAGCTCAGGTCTTTTCCTGAAGATAGGGCCTTTCCTGTTTGCTCAAGCTGGATGGATTCTGCAGGTGTACAACAGTTCTTGAGTCATACAAGAGATGCCCTCTCAGGTGACTTTGGTTTATACCACTTCATGACGGTAAGTCCCTAAAACAACTCCAGCTAGTGTACCTTTAGCAGTGTGCCTTGGGTCATTGTCATGATGCCACAGTAAGATGCCGCTACTACCGTGCTTCACTGTGGAGAGGTTCTTTCTTGTAATGTTGTTTTTGTGGCACCAAATTCCTGTCATGTCAGATTACACACAGGTGGACAAGGTTGAAGTTATAATGTGACTTTTATAGGTAAATGGCACTACTAGATCATAGTGTATGGAATAAACATGGATGCACATTCGTGGCTTTCTCACTCCACTAATGTGAAGCATGTTGCAGATCTCAATGACATAAGTTCCCAAAATAAAATGAAAAGAGTTCTCGTGTGATCTTGTAAAGATCAGAGATCAATGGAGCCGTCTGATGTCCGCTCAGTAAAGTCGTATAGACACGCTTGTTTTAAAGTTAAAAGATACTGACAAGGATATCACCTACATCACACCACAGAGTCCAGTTACACAGCCTGATGGGGGCCAACTGACTCTCTGTTGTCAGGAGTATAGTATTCACTTACAACATGCACACTACAAGGTCAGGGGGGCCCGGCAGCAAACACGGGGTGAGATGATGTCACTGGCCAGGGAATATCTCTGAATCCCTCCCAAATATGGATGTTTAATTTTCAGCACATTAAACAAAGTGAGACCACATTGTTACCTTTGACCTACAGTAATGTTTCATGTGTTTTTGTGGCAGAACGTACGGCGCTCGGGCTGACTCTGGTGCCTTTCACGGCGAGGCGACGCAACCCAGCTGCCTCTGTGTCACACCTTCCACTAGGGTTTTATGAGTGCCGCCCTGCACTTTTAGGAATCAAGCAGTGTGCATTTTTTACACAGTACTATTTCTGCATATTGGTTGATTTATTGAAATTCTTCATATTCACTTTTTAAACGTGGATCTCACATTCTGACACGTGCACATGGGTGCAGCATATTTATTGTTTACTGCACAGATGTGCATGTTACATTCCACACGTCCTCTGAAACGTTATTTCTAATTGATATTCTGTCATTTTTTACCAGTCATAAAGTGGGAATTCAGATTTTATTTGATATCTATAAAGGAGTTGCTGATAGGCCCTGCGATGGACTGGTGGACCATCCAGGGTGTTCCCTGCCTCTCACCCACTGAATACTGGGATAGGCTCCAGTCCCCCCGTGACCCCATTTGGGAATAAACTATTCATGGATGGATGGATGGATGGATGGATAAAGGAGTTGCTGACATGTCTCTGTGATTTGACCAACTTTTTTCAGATGTTTCATGAAGCAGACAATAAAAATACCAAGACTGGCTAACGCCAAACAAACAAAAAAAGGTTTTGAGATTAGGAATGAACATGTAAGGCTCTGAACACAATTTTTCTGCATCCAGTGTGTTTGCCTCAGTTCAGTAGAAAAAGACAAAACTCTGCAAACATTTTGATCTAGCGGTATGTGTAAAACATGCAGTCACCGTCTGATCAAACCAGAGCTGTGTCCAAATGACATCCATAACTAGCCACATGCCACCACTCGCTGTCTCCATAACCAGTCATCAGAAAGGAATGTTAAACCAGAGCTGTTGCAAAAAATGCATAAAAGAAGGGGGAAAAAGAGAGAAAGATAAAAGTCAAGAGTCAGACAGTGCCTGGAGAAAAACCATCTGCCTGTTCATCTCTAGCTCTTGTAAAATTTTGGCTGCAGCCCAACTGGGAAACACTTTCATTAACCCTACAGTCAATCTACCATGAAAACAAACACATTCGCCTGCCAAAGCATGACTCACTGCTGTTTCATAGCAGCCACAAATGTTAGCGTCGCTAAGCTCTTTCCTGTTGGCCTGGCCTCGCCCTTCCTGCAAAAGGGCTGCCGCCAGTGCTGTGCTATCTCGCTCTCAATTTTGACCCCTTCAGGGCTTTAAAGGGAGCAAGACACCTTTCCACAGCCTGCACAATTCTAACTCTAAAATACCTGGCAAAGAGGTGGAGCAACTTGTTAAATTTCAGTTCAGACACAGTTCTTTAAAATAGTAAGATAGAATATTCCCAGGTAGACTCTCCTGTCGGGAAAAAATCCCAAAATATCCCATTTACGCTGTCATAGAGGCCACACTATGAACAAAAAACATCCAATACTTTGACCTGCTTCATACAGGAATTTATGTAGTGCTGTTGGGTCAACTATGTTCTTTCGGTTAATTTATATCTTTTTTCAGTCTACAACGTCTCTTAATTCTTTGAAATATATCAGTCTCACTTTGTCACTTTATCTGGCACAACAGCTCGAAGAGAGATGTAGAGGATTTTCTAAGGAAAAAGCTGTGATGGCACGCCTTTCTTTGGTCTTTAGTTGCTTCCACTAACAACTGGTATAAAAAACTTTACTGCAAGTGGTCAAAGATGCGCTATACCACTTTGTTACCTGTTTTAAGAGGAATATTTGATCTCTCGTCAACTGATAAAACAGTTTGACAGTAACCTTAAATAGGAAAAAGCCTTTTTCAAATTAATATTGAATACAAAAATAAGTTAATGTCCACATTATACCTTTCTATAAACTCTGAGAATAACCAGTGTTGTTCTCCTAATCGCATACTTGCAGCATCCAGAGCAATAACTCAACTTTCCCTTGATTGGGTCTCATGGACTGGTCCTGGGGGCCAATTCAGAAATAACCCCAACACAAACACTGTGGCTATATGGTCTAATCTGTTTCAAAATGTAATATCTGGAGACTCATAATTTACACAAGAGAATGTATGCCAACCTCATTCCAGCGTGTTAATCTGAAAATATGAAACCCGCTGATTACAAGGTCACTGTGTTATCAAAGAAAACATATATGTGTGCACATGTGCTGTTAGGTCTGTCTTACATCCCAGCAGCAGAGCTTTCGCATGATCCAGAGTTGATACTGACTGTGTCAGCTTGCTCATATGCAAACACTGGCTGCATTTGTCATTAGGGCATGTATGGTATTATCTTTGGGTAAATATTCAAGATAAGCTTGATAGCATGCGATGTGCGCCTATAGGCTCTGCCTCGGATTTGATAAGACGTAGATTTACAAATGGAGCTGGAGTTTTTTTTTGGTTTTCTTTCCCACAATGTAAGGTAACAGACGTATACTGCCTATACCCAATCAGCACATCACATCTGACAGTGGTTCTGACAGCGGGTTTGAGTAGCATCATGGTTGTGGTCCACGCCACTCAACATCATGTCTCCCTTATTCTGTCAGAGAACAGGATAAAAAGAGGACAGCATAGAAACAGACAACATTTAGTAAATGGTCTCAGTGCTCTTGTATGAGGAAAGCCAAATGTGTCTGATGCTGTAATTCTGGCTGAGGTAAACCAACGCAGCACTTCCTTAAATGGGAAACAGAGACCCAGATCTGTGCTTTACTACAACATAACTCTGATTAAGACCAGACTGGTCTGCCCGTGGTTGGTTCTGAGCAGCAGCCAGTTCCTTCTCAGGGACACGACTGTTAACATCTTGGTATGAGATGAATCTGTGTTGATCGCTCTCCCTTTCAGACATTTCTATATAATCCTGCAGAGCTCATAATACCACATGGCACATTGCTGGATGGTGTTTTGGTCTTTTTCAAAGCTTTAACAATCTGAGTGTGTAAAATGTCCATTACCAGATCATTAGATCAGTATTCTGAAGTATGGATGGAAAACATTTTCTTCACATTTTTATATTTTCATGTGTTTTCTTATAACAACCTCTTGAGAAACACAGTTATCTTCACAAGATAACAGTTTAATTATCGGGTCAAAATGAACATCATAATTTAATTCTAATTAGCCTTCGTCTTTTAAGGAGGACACTCTCACTGGGAAATAATGCAGAAAATCCACATGACACTTTCAGTCAGAGGGACTTCTATCACTGGGCCGTTATACATACTTTTATATCTCCAGCTGTGTTTAGTGACCTCCTCTTCTTTGTGTGATCTCCTGGCTTTTCATTCAGCACCATCATCAGATCGAAATTCCAGTTTTTCCAGGACTTTTTTTTGTTTAACACGTTCTTAATTCAACAGCAAATCTTTTTTGTTCATATTTGAACTCTCGCAGACAGAATTATTTTTTAATTTAAATGTCTCAAAATATTTCATACATATGCCTTATATTCTTATCGTTTCATTTTACGTGTCCCCTGTCTGCTTTTAAAAAGGAACGTCCCCTCTGCAGTCAGTGTTGGCATGTGGTGGGAGTTCAAGTACCACATATCTTATAGCAAAAGAACACATCCCAACTGATGTTGTGTTTCTATAATAGGCATTGTAAATAAATGCTTCAAATGGTAATACAGTTAATTCCTAAGCAGGTGCATTAAAGACTAGTGCATTGTGCTTTATAATGAATTGTCAGAAGAGATGCTTCTCTGCTGTCACCCTGTGGCTAAAATGAAATTGTACATTTCTCGGTTAAGGGATATACCAAGCAAACAAAGCTGCATGTCAAACTCACATTTGAGGGAGTTTGACAGCCGGAATAAGGGTAAATAATGAGGTATAATGGGTATATTATTAAATCGTATCGACAATGACTTCATCTTCATGAACGTAAAGATAAATGCTAACAACATTGTTAGTAATACACAATGTTATATAAATACAGTAACACTAAGCATTACACAATAATAGAATAAATAAACTTAAACAAAACAAAACGTGTAGGAGAAGACGCTGCCATGCGCGTGTCCCTTGTTGCTAGCCATAGTTTACGTCATCAACATAAGCCGACCAGAACAGCATGGCAGATTGCTGTCGCTGAGCGATTATTGACCTTCTAAACATTTTACTTTCAGTGAGTTTTGGTTTCTTCAATGTACTTTAATAAGTGTCAGTTCCTATCATATTTAAATAGAGTTTTCTATGCAACGTAATTAATTGTTTTTGAATGATTGCTGTTATAACGTCCAAGCTAACCTGCCGATTGTCTTATGTCATCGTTTGATAAAAATTATATCGTTTTATTGAATCGAACATTATTTTGTGGAATTAACATGTGGCAGTTTCTATACTGTAGTGATCCCACTGTTTTAATTACACGCTTAAATGCACGTTTTAAATGTTTATGAGTAAACTGACTCACGACAAGAATGGAATTATGTTATACAGACTACTGATGCGTCTTCTTCTTGTGTTGTACAGGATTTAGGGAGCAGAATGTCCGTCAAGCATGCATCAGTCCATGCCAAATGGGTTATTGGGAAAGTAATTGGAACCAAGATGCAGAAAACAGCCAAAGTTAGAGTCACAAGGCTTGTTCTGGACCCGTACCTGCTAAAGGTGAACTACAGTACACAGTACAGTACAGTACAAACGCATGTATTAAACAAAACACACACGTTGTCAATAGATTGTAGCAAGTATAAATTGTAGATATGAGTTTTGCTTGCATATGTCAAAGATGCCCCCCTCTTTTTACCCTTTCCTTGACTAAAATTGATAAATGAATTAGAGACATAATATTTTTATTCCGTAAGGACACCATTAATCTTTATGCATCATTGTAAAAATATTTAAGGAAAAAATTCTGTGACACTGAATAAAGATAACAGGAGTATTTTTGCTCAGCCATTTCTGTGTATGATAACTGACAGGCTCCATTAGGTTCTTAGTTTTTAAATAATTTTGAATCAGCCTAAATAATTTTTTACTGGTACATTCTCAAACATAATCATCATGTTGTTGCATATAATTCTGTGTTTGAGTGTTTTTAAACGGGTTTCATATCTTTTCAGTATTACAACAAAAGGAAGACCTACTTTGCCCATGATGCTTTGCAGCAATGCACCATTGGAGATATTGTCCTTCTCAAGGCTCTGCCTGAGGCCAGATCCAAACACGTGAAGCATGAACTGGCTGAAATAGTCTACAAAGTTGGACGAGTGGTGGATCCACTGACAGGAAAGAGTGTTGCTGGGACTGAGTTTGTGGAGCCTCTGTCTGATCTCCCATATGATGGGCAAACAACGCTGTCCGACAAAATCCAGGAGCTCAATATTTCTGCTGCTTCTGCCGGAGCCGATTCCACGTCACCACAAACTCCCACCTCATAATGCAAAGCCGTTCTTTATTTTAATACAACTTGGCTACCATTTTTGTTTTTTCTCTTGATGTTATAAATGTATTTGTCAGTAATATAGTCCAAATGCATGTATGGGATGAATCTTTAAAGTTATTTACATACTCATTAGGATCGTTTCATTTTGAAACGTGATTATGAATAAATGGCATTGAGATTCAACCTGTCAGTCATAAATGTGTGTAGTGTGTGTTTGCATTTTCCATATAAAGAAAAACAGATTATACTATGGTAAACTGGGTATTACGTCTCTTATCTTGGACAAAAATGAATGCAAAACAAATAACTCTGGTCTTGGTCTGATTTATTAACCATTTGTTTAGATGGACATAGTAGCTTACCCACCATTTCACCTACGAACAATATCATGATTTATTTGGAGGCCAAAGATTATAAGTTGTTCGTGAATAAAGAACAGTCTGGAGCTTAAAGCCTTCAGCACAGCGAAAGTATGAAAAACAGCGGAGTAAAAATCAATCACAAAGTTACACTTACAACTGGAAATTGTTCCCGTAAGACCCGCGTGTTCTCCATAACGAAGTACACCACGTTAACTCGAGCGCACGGCGTTCACCTGGTGTTACGTTACTGTGTCAGCTGGTCCGGGAACAGCCCGGACTGCGGCTGAAGCTGTCAAACAACCACCAAACCTCAGATGCTTTCAGGGAAAGATGGCGACCCAAGTCCTTCAAAGAGTTGGCAAAGGCCTTCATAAGACGAAACACGGGCTCCAGGGCAACGCGCCGGTCGCCATTGCCTTCAGGTCAGAACTCTGCAGATCGCCTTTGCCAGTACGGAACGTTAGCGGCTGAAGAAAGCGTCTTTAACTCCGGTAGCAGGGACTCGAACAACAGCCCCCGACATGCTAGGTGGCTAAGATAAGGCAGGAGTGCAGACTAACGTGGGGACGCCTGCACGCTCACAGGGCTCTGCAACGTAGCTAGCATTAGCCTCCTAGCTCTCCACTTGCTAACTTTATGCTAATTTTTTTGACCCTCTCGAGCGATAAACTCTCGAAGTCTACATTTCCACCAGTGTACACTTCAGTGCAGCGTCATGGTGGAAATTAAAGACGCTCTGAGTGGAAAACCCCGGTTGAAATTGTCAGTGCCAGATTTAACTTCAAGGTCACAACGCAGAGAATTGCAACAACACAAAAGTTGTCTTGAGTGGCTATGTGTGTCCCAGTAGTAGTTGTGTACGTGTTACAGCAACCGCTAGGTCAGTATTGCCTTTGAAATGATTTGACATATATGAAGTTAAACTGTAACTGTATTATATTTTGTTTATATAAGAGGCAGGTTGTCAGAATGAAATATCCTTAGAGTTTATGTTCAGTCCACCAATAGAAAGCTGAAACTTGTGCACGTGAGAATGTAAATTCCTTGCAGACTAATCTGGTTCTGTGCAGCATGTGCAGCTGATTACAAGCCTCTCTGTTTTCTGTGTAAAAGAAAAGACTACCATTCAGTTTTATGACAGATTTCTAACCTCATTGCAGTAAACCTGTAGTTGGCTCACATGAGCTGATATTCCAGGTTGCATGTCCGGTGCTTTGTGGAGGCCTTTACTGTTACTCCTGTGGTGTGTGTTGATGTACTGGTTTAATGGAAGAAATATTGTCTTCAACAATGCTTGTCCTCTTTTTATTTAATCACAGGAGCCTCTCAGGGTTCAAATCTCTTTTTGTCAGAAAAGTTGACCCAAGAAAAGACGCCCACTCTCACCTGCTCGCCAAGAAAGAAGACAACAACCTGTACAAAATACAATGTATGTTGTCTTTGCAGCTTCCTATGAATGTAGCACGTTAATGAAATGACAAGCCTTTTTGGGAATAATCATAGAACATCTTTTGGATGCTGCATTATTTACAAGTGCTTTTTTTTTCACAGTTCACAATGTCAAACCCGAGTGCCTTGATGCTTACAATGAACTTTGGTAAGAAAGTTAACTCCTTCCTCTTTCAGAGGCCTTGTCAAAGCTGTGTGTCAGTGTTGTTCTCACTTTGTTATACATTTGTGTGCGTGTGTGTTCCCAGTGAGGCCACGTTGCCCTCCATTCATGCTGATCCTGAATATCCCTGTGAGCTTGTGGGCACCTGGAACACTTGGTACGGAGAGCAGGATCAGGCAGGTAAGAGCGAGCAGCTTATGTGGAGGTTAATATGCCACCCTTTCTGTGCAACTGAATACACATTCTACCAGGAAAATACAATGAAATGTATTAGCAAGCTAGTTTGCATCCTGAAAACAGCTGGTCAAAATATAGGGCCCTGAAATGTAACTATTTTGCATTGTCAGCTTCCCTCCCCCCATTTTGAACGAATCATGGGAGAAAAAAGTGGATGATTGCAAATGCATATTTTGTTATTCCAAGTTTATATTCGCTCATGTGAAATAATTTTAAAGGTTTAGTCTTGAGTTGATTTAGAAGGGGCCAAAAAAAGGCTAGAAATGCTGATACATGCACACCTATAACATTTGGACTTGTTCTACTCTGGAAAATAGATTATTATTCACATATTATTTTTAAATTTTGTCACATATCTCATAGCCATCAGAAGTCCCCAAGCTTTCAATGTTCTGTCACAGATTAAAGGCAAAAATTTATAAATGATGTGATTCTTTTAAAAAAAACATATTTTTACGTACAAGCCCTTTTTATTCTGGCCAACAGGTGACTGACATCTGATTTGAGCACAGATAGTTCAGTGTTGTTTTTTTTAGCGAGACTGCTGTGCCGTGGGCAGCTAAAGTGGATGCAGCTCACTTTTCTACTGAACCACATTTAACAATTGTAGTATCTTGTGCGGAAAACCCTGATTATAAGATCAAGTCACCCCTGAAAAGGGTCAGATTTACCGATTAAAAAAATTCCCATTAATGTTGGGCCCATTTAAAAATGAATATCAACAGTCTGCCGGGAACAAGTGGTAGTGCCTGTAATACAAGTTCAGTGTACAGAGGAAGACAGAGAAAAATAGTTTAATCAGCACATTTTAGTGGGTACGTCAGCATTGGAAAAAAAACTTGTATAAACATGGGACATTTGGTGTAAACACAGAATTAGGAAAAATATTTTCAAGCATTTTGGTCCTATGTTGATTCCAAGTATGTGAACCCAGTTATTAATATTATTATAATAATATTATTATAAGAGCTCTGTCTCTTCTTCGTTGGCACGGGCCAGCTCTTGTGTGTCAGTTTATAACAGCACTCCTCAGGGCTGTTGTCCACCTTGTGCTGTGATAACAGCTCGTTCTCCAGCTGCAATCTGACCCTGATGCAGCGCCGTAGTGACGGCAGCATGAGTGAAGAGAAACAGGAAGGATGAAGAAGTAGACAGTGAAGAATTGAATCTAAAATCCTTTTTTTTTTTCTCTTTGAGATTGTTTGGCAGGAGTAGTTGTCGTTTCAGGCTAACGCCTTTCTGGGCCATTCTTGTCGTCTAGTCGTTTTTTTAAAGCTGTGTGGTTTGGAGTGGTCATTTTCTCTGCAATGTGGGAGATGATAAAGCAACATTTCACTACTTCTCATTCTTACTAAAATATCCCAAATAAAAATAGTTGTTTTTTTTGTTTTTTTCATCACGTGTTTCCTTCCACAGCGCTCCATAAGAATCTTACTAAAAACGAGGCAAAAAGCCTCGTGAAAGCACATCTCTCCCAGGAGAGCACAGCATCTGTCCAAGAGCTGCATTATTTCTGGCTCTTCTGCTCCTTCTATTCTAGTTCACCTATGGAGATATCGGGGAGGATACCCGGCTCTCACCGAAGTCATGAACAAACTCAGGCAGAATAAGGTAACAGGGGCTCGGATTAGTCCGGCTCACTGGCTGCTGGTGAGCTGTAGGCCAGTGATTCTGGCAATTAACCCAAAAACCCTTCTCTTCCCCATGCGATTCATCACCTTTGACACTGGTTTTCCAGATATTTAAAAAAAATGTTTTTTTAACAGCGTTGTAGCTTTTTTCATTTAGCTGTTGATAAAGTAATTCTTTTTTATTTTTTATGTTAAGGTATAGAAATATGTGTTTAGATTTTTTTGTTCGAAAAGCAAACTCAAGATTCATGAAATGTGAAAATGCTTTGAAATATATGTCGTGACCCATCCATGTTCAGTTTAAAAATAGAATATCAGAGATTCCTCCTCGCCAGGGAGTTAAACCATATCAGCTTTTTCTAGACAGGATTGTTTTATTATTCATTCTTAATCACACAAAGAAGGCTTCAAAAATTCCTTAAGAAAAGGGAATTTAACTGGATGCATAGATTGTAAAACAGTCACATGACAGATATGTGTCCAAAGTTTATTAAATTTCAGCTATTTGTTTCATTTTGTTTTTTAACCTAAGTTTTCACACCCTTAAACGGTCAAAGGGTTTAGTCGAGGCTGCTTTGATCTCACTGATTCTGATGCAAACAGGAGTTGGTTGGTGGGAAAAGACTTCCTGAGCACTGTGTTCCGCCCGTCTGTTTTCCCTGCAGGCGTTTATGGAGTACAGGGGGGAGCGGGGCAAGATGCTGCTGTCTCGTAGGAACCAGCTGCTGCGGGAGTTCAGCTTCTGGAACGAGCCCACTCCTCGTCCAGGACCAAACATCTACGAGCTCCGATCGTACCAGCTCAGGGTGACTGGCTTTGCCTTTCTCCTACCGATTTTCCTGTTATTTAGTTGTGGCTGTATGAACTGTTAAATGACTTCTTTATCATCCTCATGCTGTGATTTCAGCCTGGGACGATGATCGAATGGGGGAATTACTGGTAAGGCAGAACTGTCTTTTTTTTTCATTTTGTTATTGATTTATTTATCTTTAATGGATGATAGATTTAAGTGAACACTCTACCTAAAGATCTTAATTAAGTCAGAAAAAAATGTATTGTTATCCATTATCAAGGACTGGGACTCCTGGTATTAAGCATTATATTCAGAGGATTCTTTTCAACTTCTTTGTTTGTATTACATTTGTTTGTATTATAAAGTACAACATTAAACTTATAATATTGTGAGAATTAGCACAGCTTTTAGCAACAGCTTTGTGTTTTAACATCCCTGATGCTCTGCAGGGCACGCGCTATTGAGATCCGCCAGCAGAACCACGAGGCCGTAGGAGGCTTTTTCTCTCAGATCGGAAGTCTGTACACAGTTCACCACTTATGGGGTGAGCCGAGTTTGATATTCAACGTCATGAAATTCTGGACTAAATAAAATCACTCGAATTAGTCTGGAGACTTGAAGCGTTTCTGTGTGCTGGGATAAAAACTAAGAAGTGCTCACACGTTTATAATTCCAGCGTACAAAGACCTTCAGTCCAGAGAAGACACCAGAAATGCAGCCTGGAATCGGGATGGCTGGGATGAGGTTGTTTATTACACAGGTAAGTTTGCTTTCTTAACTCTACTTTCATGGCCATTTCTCATAAGGCAGAACTGTATCATTAGAAAAGGCACATATAAGCACAACATTGCAGTGACTTAGTTCACTGAAATTGCGAGGCTGTGTAGTCGCCCCTCCTACTGTAATAAGTAGCTTTATTTTTTCTTTTTTCTTTAGTTTTATAAAGAGAAACAATAAGCAAGATAGTTGAGTGCTATTTGGTAAAAACTGCTGTTAGCTTCACTCCCTGTCAGACCTGTTAAGTATCGAGTACTGCCTACTGCAAGATTTTCCACCTGAAAGAACAGAGAAAATATATTTTTAAAACTCAAACCTGTTTCTTTGTTGTTCTACAGTCCCTCTCATCCAGCAAATGGAATCCAGTATAATGATTCCCATGAAGAGCTCGCCACTGAAGTAGCCACAAACTCCAGAAGAAACACTCAGCAGCCACTGCTCCAGCTACTCTGATCTGTAGTGTAAGCCATCATCAGAGTGTGCACTGCCGGGGAAAACGGCACAACCCAATCGTGTTTTTTTTTTTTTTTCTTTGTGTGGGTCATTTTCAGATGAAATGGTCAAGATGATTATCTCCAAAACTGTTATCTGTTACAGTAATTATTGAGTTACTGAGCATGTTGGGAAAGCGAACTATTTCACATCTCTCCTCCTCGTCACTGTTTCTGTCAAGTAAAAGGAAAGAAATGTAAACATTATTAGTAAGATCTGTGCAGAAGAAACAGCCTACAGTGTCTCACAACTAAAGCTCAGAGCTCACAATGTACTATCTTCTCAGGCAGGTAGGCAGAGATGTTCAAATGTTCATTTTCCCCAAGAAAAAAAAAAGGTCCTTTGTGTGTTTCTTTGTGTGCTCACTTTAGAAACTGGTCTCATGTTTACAGGGCTCCAAACCAAGCATCCATTTCTTTCATGTCCTGGCAACATGTTTCTAAATGGTTATTGTTGATGAGGGGATTAATGAAACAAACCCTGGTTAAATACTCATGATAATAATAACAGTTTGAATTATAGTCTGAATGTCACAAATGCTTTTCAAATCACACAAGGTCAGAGTGGTTAACTTTTGAGTATTTTATTCTTTTGGATTCTCCCTTGGCTTTTAACACAGTGACACTTTCAGTTGAGGAAAGAGGCAAAATGATTAAATGTGTTTTATTAATCATTGTTTAACGAACAGAGTACTGTGTGATTGCAGGTATACATGTCCTTATACCAGGCAGGTAACGTTGGCTAGATGACTCCCTCCTCTAATGGAGATAACTGGTCTTTTTTTGTTTTTTAATGGTCAGGTTGTACGTTATTAAACCTGTCACTCCTGTATGTGCAAATGAGTGAAATCTTTGTAACCATCAGTTGTGGATAGACAAGTGGACAAGCAAGGAGCGATAGCTCAGAGTGGTAAATGTAAAATGCTGTGCTTTAATAAGATTAGTTGTATATATTTAATTAAATTTCTGATGAATTGGACAAGTGGGTTGTGTGTTATGTACAGATATTTCTCGTATATGCTTACTTTATCTTTGAACATATACTTTACTCCTAATGCTGGACCTGCTTTCACTCAGCAACAACAAGAATAAAACATGATCTATTCTGCAGGATTAAAAGACGTCAGTCGCTCTGAGGCACAAAAGAGCAGATCCCATTGCTCTTCATTCAAGATAAATCCATCTGTCTTTACTGAGAGAAATGTAATCACAAAACACTCTAAATGTGATATCAAATTCAAACCTGTTCTGTTTCAATCAGACACTGGAAGGGGAATTGGATTTAATCAATTTACAACATCCAAGTCATCCAATCGCCCTAAAAAGGTGTGGTTTATGTCGCCTTTAGGGAACGTGGGAAATGTTAAAGTTAATTACAAGCCATTGTGGAAATTGGTCCTTCTGAGACTGATTAAAGAGTAACTTCGTCTGAGTTGAGAAACTAAAATGATTTAATCTTTCAACTACAGAAGAAACTAAATCCTAACATCTTAATTATTTTCATACGAATAAATTCGGGGTTTTTTGCCCTGGATATTGAGCAGACCCATTTATGTTGCTTTCTTAAAAAAGTAAATGTGAGAATGACAAATATTTACCCCCTTTAATTTTGCAACCGGAAAGTTGGAAACTTTCTAAAAGCAGAATTTCCTACATACGACTGCTCGCTTAAAGGCAGCACGAGAACACGTGTTGGAGCCTTCTGGAAACCAACTCTCCTTTCCTGAGCTGCCCTACCCCGAGCAGCGCCCTTACTCTGCCGGCGAGAGTTTTTATTTTATATCGGCTGGTTGTTCTGCTTCGTAATGTCTGCCGTAAAAGCGCTGAATCCTAAAGCAGAGGTGGCTAGAGCCCAGGCCGCCCTGGCCGTGAACATAAGTGCCGCCCGGGGGCTTCAGGATGTGCTTAAAAGTAACCTGGGACCGAAAGGGACCATGAAAATGTGAGTGCCTTCGGAGCTCTTTGTGCTGCACGCGTGCTATGCTAACCAACTGCTAAGTAGCTAGCATTGTCTGCTATTTACCGGTAAAATGTTTGCGCAGTTATCAGTCTGTCGCCACCGACTTTATCAGCATAAAAGTAAGAGTCCTTTCCGTCTACCCCTGCAAACACGACGCAAAATATTTTTTTATTCTGAGGCCTCCCTTGCAGAGCGATTGAGGGGCTTCCCTGCGCACGTTTCCGTGCCCAGTCATCGTGATCCGCTTTTACAGCCACCAAGCTAACGGTAGCTTGCTAGTCATAGCTGTTAGCTGGTCGTGCTAATTGTTGCTAAAACTTGAGACGTGGTATCTTGAAGTTGATGGAAATTTGAAATTAAGATTGGCATCAACTTAATATCTAATGGAGAAATTAAATTGCCATTCTCGCCCTTGGTGTCTCGTGATTTAAACGGAAATTGGTCACTTTTCAATCATCAGTGGTGGTCTCATGTAGCCATCACACTACGCATTAACATGTCCACAATGATAATAAGTTTCGAGTCGGTAACCTGCGTGTGTGAACCCAGTTCATTTCAATATATCTAACCACTGTCTTTGTCTCTTTCTTTTTTTTTCACTGTTTGGACCTTCAGGCTGGTGTCAGGTGCAGGAGACATAAAGTTGACCAAAGATGGCAACGTTTTGCTACATGAGATGGTAAGGAAGTGACAGTCTGTGAGCTGTTGCTCTGACCTTGTTCATTCCTAAAATCCTCACGGGCTAAAGATGCCTCCATTGGCCAAGAGTTTAAAATGTGCTATTTTCACCTTATAATAAGAAACCAGTCTGTGCACTTGGGGATTGTCACAACTAAACATTATTTATCATTTAAAGACATGATCAATGAACCAGGTATTCATTGTTTATTTTGACAGGTTATGGGTCTTTTCATACATTAGAAAAAAAGTGGCAGAGACCTTAGATTTGTGATCTGGACTCTGAAAATGGAAATATTGTTTCATTTGATCGCATAACAGAAGTTTGTATTCCATTTTGTTTCCTTTATAGCAAATTCAACACCCAACGGCATCCCTGATTGCTAAGGTTGCCACGGCACAGGATGACATCACCGGAGATGGAACCACCTCCAACGTCCTCATCATCGGTGAACTGCTGAAGCAGGCTGACCTTTACGTGTCAGAGGTATGGCTGTGAGGCCACAGGCTTTTTATTGTTCACTGAAACCCGGTGGGTGGTTTCAATGAGATGTGGACGGGCTCCAACGTGAATTCATGTGCATGTCTCACCTTCAGTCTTTGATTCTGCACCGCAGGGACTTCATCCCAGAATCATTGCCGAGGGCTTTGAGGCGGCAAAAGAAAAGGCCCTGGCTGTTCTGGAGGAGCTGAAGGTGACTCGGGAAATGGACAGAGAGACTCTCATCAACGTTGCACGGACTTCTTTGAGGACCAAAGTCCACGCGGAGCTGGCAGACCTGCTCACTGAGGTGAGGCATAAAGCGGTCGCTGTGTTTAAATGCTGCTCTAAAGCTGTGATATTCAACATTATTAGCCTTTTGAAGGCGGCTTGTCTGTTTGACATCTAGGAGTGTTGCAGCATTTTAAACTGGGGTGAGATATGTCAGAGGGAAAAGAAAGCCTCTCTGGTTGAACTTATTTGGAAGCAGACAGTGCTGACTACTTGTTGTTTTAATGAGAACATGCTTTAGGTGTGGTCATTATCTGTGTTCCTTCCCCCGCAGGCTGTGGTAGACGCGGTGCTCACCATCGCCAAACCCAACGAGCCCATCGACCTGTACATGGTGGAAATCATGGAGATGAAGCATAAGATCGACTGCGACACGCAGTAAGTCTGGGGGAGGAGCAGGTGGCGCCGGCCGCTGTGTCCGGCGGGCCGTAACTCACTCTGCCCGGTGCCCTCACAGGCTGATCCGGGGCTTGGTGTTGGACCACGGCGCCCGACACCCCGACATGAAGAAGAGGGTGGAGGATGCCTACGTGCTGACCTGCAACGTCTCTCTGGAGTACGAGAAGACGGAGGTCAACTCCGGCTTCTTCTACAAGAGTGCCGGCGAGAGGGAGAAGCTGGTGGCCGCAGAGAGGAAGTTTATTGAGGATCGCGTTCAGAAGATCGTCGCCCTGAAAAAGACAGTCTGTCCCAGCAATGAAAAGGGCTTTGTCGTCATTAACCAGAAGGTAGTGTTGAAAAGTCTTTTTTTTCTTTGTTTAAAGTGGACAAGAGTGTGTTTATAGTTAAAGCAAACAACAACAACAAATGCATTTGAACAATATTAAGCTGAAGAGTGTCTGTTAAGATTTATGTGCCTCTTCATACCAAACTGAGGAGTTTTAAGTAAGATTTGTGTGTCTAAAAAAGGCCTCAAATTCTCATCAGACCGTGGAACAGAACACTTTAAATGTCAGGATTGTTGATGAGCATTTTTTTTGGGTGAACTTTGATGTCCAGCCTTTGCACAGCGAACACTCAGGGATGCTGCCGTAGCTCCCCCTGCTCACCCCAGTCTGTGCCACAGTAACTGTGATCTGTACCTCTGCATGAGGGGAGTCTGCTCCTCCCTGCATGTATTCAGCGGATCAGGACAGGCTTCCACTCGCTGTAGAAGTGAACGTGAACCGGCTCCTTTTGTTGCCGATTGTAACCAGCGCTGTGTTTTCTGCTTTGTGTAGGGCATCGACCCCTTCTCTCTGGATGCCCTCGCCAAGGAAGGCATCGTCGCTCTGCGCAGAGCAAAGAGGAGGAACATGGAGCGGTAAGATGGAGAGGAGTTTCTCATTTATCAGGAAGGGGGGGAGTGATACGTCCCTGTAGGTGTGAGATGGTTTCTGCCAAAATGAAAAATACTCAAGGAGGCAGTGCTGCTGGATCTGATGTCGTTTGTCAGCACTTTGACTTCCTGGTAGAGTTTAAAAAAAAAAAAAAAAAGTATTTGAAGTTGTTAGTATTTCATCTTGTGACTCCACAAGGGGGCGACCTTTGGTTTGTTAGAAGTAGCAGATAGGCCAGATCCTACGCTGATGGCTCTTTCCCATCAGCGCCTGCTCAGGCCCACACGGCTCGGCCCTGTACGGTTCAGGCCGTTTTCCATTCCAAATTATGGCTGAACAAAAAAAAGAGAACTGTTAATTGGCCTGAAGTGGCACAGCTCACCTGTTCTTCCCCTGGCAGGCTGACCCTGGCCTGTGGTGGCATTGCCATGAATTCGGTGGATGACCTCACACCCGAGTGCCTGGGCCACGCCGGACTGGTCTACGAACACACACTGGTGAGTGTCGTGGTGGTCCAGAAATGTCCCCCCCCCTCAAACTGCAGTCTGCTGGTGCACTTCATGTCTCATCTGTTGACCGCTGCTTGCAGGGTGAGGAGAAGTACACGTTCATCGAGAAGTGTGGAAACCCTCGCTCAGTCACCCTGCTGGTGAAGGGCCCCAACAAACACACTCTCACACAGATCAAAGATGCTGTGAGGGATGGTCTGCGGGCAGTAAAGAATGCTATTGAAGATGGTAAGGTGGCTTTATTTTCTTTTTTCCTAATCCAAGCCTCAAAGGATTAAAGTGATTTTAGCCACATCAGTGTAACTTTCTTGCCGAAGAACAATTCCATTTAAAAACAGTGATGCACTCATCCTCATCCCGATGAAGCAAGAAAGGAAAACGAGGAGTTTAAGAAAAAACATGGTTAAAGAATGAGAATGCTGCTTAGATGGATTCTATTTAAAGCCATTTGAAAGCATTTGTCACACCATCAGTCTTTAGGGGACATATTTAATGGAGTTAGTTTATGCGTTTAGGGGTTTGGGAGCTGAGAACTGTTGGTTTGCACAGCGAACACCCAGGGACGCCAGCGTGGCTCTCCCTGGTCTCCTGTGTCTGTGCTAAAGCAACTCTGGTCTTTTCCTCTGCATTTGGAGAGTTATGTCTCTCTTACATGTATTCAGTTGATCAGAACAATGTTTTTGTTTTAAACTTTGTTATATATCAGTGGTCCTTGTGTAAAACTCGGTCTTTGCCTCATTTAGGGAATGCTATATGTAACATCTGACTATCCCTCTTGTTTTTGTGTGATCAGGCTGCATTGTGTCTGGCGGCGGTGCGATTGAGGTCGCAATAGCCGACGCCCTGGTAAAACACAAGCCCAATGTGAAAGGCAGAGCTCAGCTGGGAGTTCAGGCCTTTGCAGATGCTCTCCTAGTGATCCCCAAGGTGACGTACTTATATTTTTATTACACCATTTGAGTGTTCTAGTCACAGAACTCTTGCTTCTTGGTTGTGTAAATCCTCCTTAGATGTTTCTACTCAGACATGTACATTAAGAAACATATTTCTGTGGGTCTTTATACTATGTCAACATTTTGTTTTTGTGCATCCTTCTTTATAGGTGTTGGCCCAGAACTCTGGCTACGACCCCCAGGAGACCCTGCTAAAGCTGCAGACGGAATACAAAGAGTCCGGCCAGCTCGTTGGGGTGGAGCTAAGCACAGGTCAGAGACAAACAGAGCTCCCAATACTTAGCTTTTTCAAGTTTGGAGTCCATCTGTAATAAAGCATGACTGACTTTTGACCATCCAGGCATGCTCACAACGTTCAGTGGTAAATCCAGCCACCAACTATTTGCTGCCATTTCTTTTTCAGGGGAACCAATGGTGGCAGGGGATGCAGGAGTATGGGACAATTACAGTGTTAAGAAGCAGCTTCTCCATTCATGGTGAGATACATGAAGTCCTTTGGCCAATAGTAATATATTTAAACATTCGCTATCATTATTATCATGATTAACCCATTTTTCACGTCTGCTTGCTTACAGCACTGTTATCGCCAGTAACATCTTGTTGGTGGATGAGATCATGCGAGCTGGAATGTCCTCTTTGAAAGGTTAAAGGTCAAATAAAAGAAGCAGTCATTGTTATGGTATCCCCGGGGATAGTTGTTTACCTGACAGTAAAGCCAACGTGTTCCTGCTCTTGGCACCTGAAGCACCCCAGTCGATTGACAGCTCGTCCACCGAAAAGCATCCACCACAGCGTCTGTCACACATCATTGTTCTGCTAGTCAAGTCTTTTTTTTTTCTTTCATGGATTTGTCATTGCACCCCCCTGGAATGATTGGTTTATTTATGAGATTTTGTTTAAAGCACTGACCTTGGCCTCGCAGTTTTGTTTCTACCCATTAAAGGTTTTGGCTCCCCAAGATGTGTGGCTGTTTTTCTGTGAAGACTTTCTCATTTTCTACCTTCAGTTTTCAATAATAGGGAAGGTTAGAATAGAGGGTTAAAAGTACAGAATGTATAAATTACTCCAGCAAAAGTGTAGTTATTGAAATTAACTACAACTTAAGTTTTGCCTTCCCCACTATGGGGTCACCACACAGCTCATTATTTGTCTCTGGTCAATCTCTGTAGGAGTGGTTTATAAAGAGCAGGCTGGAGCTTTGACAGCGTGTCAACACCAAATATTAGCATCCATCTCTTTCTGGTACAGTGGAAGTGTGAACTATGTTAACATGTATCTGAAATACTTAATCTTCATGGAGCTTGATCTTGTTTCTTACTCCTTGACTCATTGACATTATCCAGTAAACATTAACGGTTGTACTTAATACTCTGAAAAATATTAATGTTCTCTCATTCTTCAAAGGTTATGAAATTCTGCTTATCAGAAGTTCAATGGAATATTCTATAAAGTTATAACTACATATTGTGACGGTATATTTTATGAGTTTGTGCAAGTGTTCAATGAACAAAGACTGAACATTTTCAAATGTATGGTGAAATAACTTCATTTCATAAAAGTGTAAGGATGCCTTTGTTATTGCTAATAATAAAGTACGATGGATTTTTTTTTCATTGTTCCAACAGAACATATTTGTCGGTATCAGCTTCATAACGTATGGTTCATGCAGACAGAGATGGCCTGTATCATACTGTATGGCTGTTCTTACACAAAGCGGAACCTCTAATGCGGAACCTTGTCACGGCTTCAATGAAATTCCGTTACCGTGGCAGCTGCGAAAACCGTCCGGGCAAAAACAGCAACCAAAAAAAAAACTTTTGCTAAGTTTCACCGTCATCAGCATACACAATTGTGTAATTCCACACTTTAAATCAGTTTCAGGTGACTTTTTTCGTAGGCATACTTGCCAAAATGAACGTTAATCTTTACTGGTTATTTCTTGCGTTTTTATGGTCTGCAGCAGGTAAGAGTTCCTTTGTCTGTTTTTTTTTCTCTCTTTTTTTATTGCAAATCAAAACTTCATTCAGTTTCAGTGTGACAAGACAGAGCTTTTGTTGACAGCTGCTGCAGAGATGGTAAATATCCCTGGAGGAAGGATGTTGATGGGAACCAGTGCAGCGGACGGGAGGGACGGAGAGTCTCCGGTCAGGGAGGCGTTAGTGCAGCCCTTTAGGATGGACAAATACCCAGTCACAAATACAGACTTCAGGTAATGGAAATTCAAGTCTGAGACAAGGGGTGAATAAATAAAAAGGAATATTATGGAGATTATTAAAAGCAGGCAAACGCAAGTGAATGTGTGGTTTTCTTTCACAGAGACTTTGTGAGGGAACAGAAGTACAAAACAGAGGCGGAGACGTTTGGCTGGAGTTTTGTGTTTGAGGACTTTGTGTTAGATGAGTTGAAGAGCAAAGTCACTCAGAGAATTGAGGTGAAGTGGCATTAAAGGATGGTATATCTAATTAATTTGGTGGCTAATAGTAGGAAGTTTTTCTGATCACCAGCTGCTGATCTCCCTTCATTTCCTCTCCAGTCTGCTCCCTGGTGGCTGCCTATAGAGCGAGTGTTTTGGAGGCAGGTAAGGTTTTTCCCCTGTTGGTGCCTATCTCGAAGCATTCTTGAAATGCACACCTTTGACCTCCAGCTTCACAGCCCGCAGGACCCGGCTCAGGGATTCGGGATCGTCTGGACTTTCCGGTGGTTCAAGTGAGCTGGAAGGACGCTCAGGCCTTCTGCAGCTGGAGGGGCAGCCGGCTGCCCACAGAGGAGGAGTGGGAGTGGGCCGCCCGCGGAGGACTGCAAGGTAAAGCACTCAGTCTGTGTCCATGGAACACAACACAACGACGCACACGTACACAGCTGCTTTTATTTTTAACTCCAACCAAAGGTAGACTCTCAAAATGAATTTCAACACGCACACCTTAACTCATCCAGCCTCTCGCTTACACACCCAGATAATGTCAGATTAAATCGCTCCTGCATTTAACCGCACCCAAATGGGCCAGGTTGCTCTGCACACGCTCCAGAATTTATATTGTTATTGCAGGTTGAAATTAGTTTATTTTGTCCAAAGGAGTGTGATGATCTACAGATACACATAATAATAATAATAATAATAATAATACTTAACTGCCTTCCAGGAATTTGTCCGTCAGTGGTTCACTATTTTCATTCCTCTCTTGCTCCAGGCCGGACTTATCCATGGGGGAACAAGTTCCAGGCCAACAGGACAAACCTGTGGCAGGTCAGCCTGACAGTGATGTGTGCTGCTTTGGGAGTTTATTGCTTTGATTTTTTCTTTCTTTTCCACTAATTTTTGCTGATAATGTTGCTGCTTTTTACATCTGAATGTACCATTTTGAGGATGAAATGACACATCTTGTCAAGTAGATATTTTTTTAAATTCAAATATAATGAATATAAGTGAATTGCTTTAATAAGTGAGATAATTATGGCAAAATCATATTAAACTAATGATTAATAGATAAAAGTAATTCTTGTTGTTTCTCCAAAGTTTGCTTGGAAAAATCATTGACGTGAAAACAGTTTTCTATTTTTGTTGGTTTCAGGGAAAGTTTCCAGATGGAGACACTGCAGAGGATGGATACCATGGCACCTCTCCAGTCACAGCATTTCCTCCCCAGAACAGTTATGGTAATCGTGCCTCCAGAAAACACTGTTAGAGCTAATGAAAAGTTAACAACATGCATCAAAAGCTTTGCATGGAAATATATCCAAACCATTTTTCACTAGTTGAATCAATTTTCTGAGTTCTCTGTCAAGTGTTGGTGACATGCTTTGGTTCAAATGAAACAGAAGATGTAACAGGTGATACTCAATACTGACCTGTTTGAATAAGATCCCCACGTCTGCTTTCCCTGAAGGGCTGTATGATATGATGGGGAACACATGGGAGTGGACGTCCACGCCTTTCCCGTCAGCACAGCCCATGTACGTGCTGCGCGGCGCCTCCTGGATCGACACGGTGGACGGCTCTGCCAATCACAAAGCTCGAATCACAACCAGGTGAGCTAACGGCTAAAAATCTGGATTGTGAGAGAGAAGGCCAACAGCGCTGCCGCTCCGCCCTCATTGACGGATGGTTTGATGTGTGTCCCGCAGGATGGGCAACACTCCAGACTCTGCCTCGGATAATCTGGGATTCAGGTGCGCTGCCAGCCACGGACAGAAACAGTCTAAGAAGAAAGAGAACGCAGAGCTGTAGCAACGCAGAGCTCTTTAAAAGCTTGAGCCATCCATTGATCAGATAATCTGATGGCTTTCAACTTGAAAGCTGTATGAAAACAAAAAAAGGAAATGTGTCCGATGAATTAAAGTCACGACTGAGAAATGAGTGGAACAACTAAGCAAATGAGAGCAGGAAGAAAACTAATTTCCTCCCATGGAGAATTCTTAAGCTTTCTTTTATTTATTTTTTCTCAGATTGTGTTGTTTCATTGAGGCAAATGTTAAAAAAGAATCCCAAATCCCAAAGAATCTAATGTCTTTGGACCATTGAATCTGTTTTTTCCCAAAGCTCCAACAGTGCATTCACTGGCTGCCAACACTGTGGTAGTCCTCCTTTTACACGCTGGCATCTTTCTTTTGTTCAGTGTTGCGATGTGACTTGAGAGCAAATGGGTGCATCAGTTCAGCCACAGAAGCTCTAATCCTGGTCTGGACTTCCTGTTTGCGTTCTCCTCTTGAGCTGTTGGCTGATAAGAGCGTGGGATGCCTTCTGAGAAAAACTCCACCATTGGTTCTGTAAGAGTCCCCGTGAAAATGCAAAGGCTTCTGTGTGTTTTCAGCACATGTGGAGGTGGAGCAAAATGTGCATGTTATTTTTATTTTTTATTTTTTTTATGGACAATGTTCTTTTTTTTAGCATAAACAGCATGTCTACACAGCATCCTAAAAGCTGATTGTGTATTTGATAATCCAATAGGATCACTTTTGTAAATTGTGAAGCAGAATTAAAAAAAAAGGTAAAGTAGAAAAAAAAAGGTTTCTCTGAACACCCTCACAGTTCCTGCCTGAAACCCAACCTCTACAGAAATGGCTGTGAGGCTGTTGCTCAGTTTTTCATAAGGAAACATTGTTAATAAATCTTTTTTTTTTTCCACAGTAAAAGTGTACATTAAAAGCATTATTTCTAATGCTTTGGGACCTAAAACTAAGTTTGTAAGTGAAAATGTGCATTTAAGGGTCCAGAAAACATTTGAAAAAAATTAAGAATAAAGGTAAGACAGATCGGAAGTCATTCTAAAACCCACCATTTTGACTCATTTTTTAATGCTTATTTCCTTATTAATGTGTCACATCATTGTGGTTTGTTGCACTGAAGAGCAACAATGTTAGCAAACCGGATCAGTGTAGTGACAAAGGCAAAATCTGACCTATTTAGTATAAAATGTAAATTACTGCTGTTGTCAGTCTGGATGTTTTCTCCTCTGAAGGGTGACCTACTTTGTCCTGCTGGAAGTACTTCCAGAGTTTGGTGCAGAGCTTTTATCTACAGAACATAGAGTGATGTACCCTGTATCAGGACAACATCTATCTGGCTCTATAACCGTTAAGACAATTAGTCAAATTGTGAGTAAAATGTTTAAGAAAAAATAGCAACATGACAGCTTTCTTTGGGATGACACATCGATGAGTTTAGTTACTGATCATTCTATCCTCGTGTGTAGGAGTAGGATATTTGTCACCAAACATTATCTGCATTTGCGAGAAATGACTACAACGGGTGTTTTCCTCAGAGCCTTTTTATTCCAAAAAACACACCGGTGACTAATTACAAGTGCGGTTTAGGTTCTGCTGAGTGCACAGCGTTCACTTCCTTTGAGATAGATGGTAAATCACTCTGCTCTCTGCCCTGTGTGTTTGACTTCACGAGCGGCTTTAGTGAGTCCTGTGAAGGGGCTGAAAACACTGGGACGGTATCAGTGAGTAGAGAGGGCCTCGCCCCTTTTTTTTTTTCTGTCCCTGCTGCTCTGTGTTTGAACGTCATGTGTTTGTGAAGTGGCTGAAAAGGAGGAAGAAAAAGCCCAGACGGGTCGCACGAAGCCACAGCCTCCCATGACATCACATCAGGCCACGTCTTGCGCCTGTGAGTGCGCATGCAGTTCAGGTAAAACGAGCCCAGCGGCATTCCGACCGTCCTCCCTCCCTCCTTTCCTCCCTCCTTGTTTCTCTCTTGTTTAATAGTCTTCCATGTGCAGTTGAGCCTGACAGTATCTGCGGGGAGTTGTTTGACTGATACTTCCTCTGCAATCCTCCGATCATGGACTTCTCTCAACCCTTCTCAGTCCTCAACGAGAAGCTGAGGCCTCGGTTCATCTCCAGCGAGCAGCTCTACTCCTCCCTGACCCGGCTGGAGGACAGGCAGATGGGCTCGCTCAGGAACAAACCCGCCTCTTACAGACCGACCGTTTTGCCCCGGGAGCCCGGGGCCTTCGGAACCGAGCCTCAGGATCTACGGGAAGCTGAAAACGACGCGAAGCCCGAGGAGCTGAGCAGTGACAGCGGGGGGGAGGACAGCTGCGACAGCCTGTCCGCCGCTGACCGCTCCTACCTCGCCGCTGACCTGAGCCTGAGAGACGGGGAGGAGAGCGACCCGGGGAATGACGACACGGACGGGACGCGCTCTGAGGAGAAAGACACCCCGGGAGAGCTGGCCTCCGAGGGGAAGATGGATCCTTCCGCCTCAGGGGCTTCTGCTGGTCCCGGAGAGGGCCCCTTCCAGAGGTGCTTCATGGACGGGACCCTACCGGACCTGATCAAGAGCGGCAGGGCCCTGGGCAGGCGCAGGACCGTGGGGCCCGTCTCAGACACGGTAAGGGAGACTCATCTCTGGACCGGAGCCTGTGAGGTCCACGTTTGACTCGTGCAGGAGCAGACGTCTCGTGCAAAAACCGGATTCCTAGACCATAAAAAACGGGGAGGGAAACTCACTGTCACTGTTTACTGTCACTCAGAAGATACGAGGCTCAAAACTAAAGGTTCCCAGAGTGTGTTTCACCACATAGTGACGCAGCAGCGCTGATAAAAGAGTGTAATAAACTGCTGGGAGTTGGGTTTGTGATGAATGGTTTTGCGTGGGAAACCCGATCAGCTTATCTCCTGCTGGGGAAAGCTGGGAATGATTTGCGGCCCTGTCTGTAAAGATGGAAACAGAGACGATGGAATTATCATGGCGTGCCATATCATCTTCTTGGCATCGAAATGTCTGTTTTTATCCAGCAATCTTTTTTAGTCTAGAAAAGCTTACCAGATGGCATGACTTGATTTTTTTTTTTTTTCGTCCACGGTTTCACTCTAGATTCCAGATAAGCAGTTTCTGTTTACATTTTGTGTTGAAGAATGCCACGGGGTTGTTCTTTCTTTGTGCAAGCTTTTGATTATCTTCCCAGCGAGAACGATCGGCTTGTGTTTGTCAAAGAATTCTGATGCGATGTTCTTCCATGGGGGTTATTTCTATAGCTCAATGAAGTGCGCAGAGAAGTGGCGCTGTCCCGGAGGCGAAGCATGAAGCTGAAGGCTCAGGTGGACCGACTCCAGGAGAGCAGCGAGGGGCCTGGCTGGAGCCATCACAGAGAGAGGGTGAGAGCCACGCACACGGCCAACAAACGGCAACACATCCGCAGCACTGGGGATTACATCTTTGTTGCAATCTCATCCCAGGTCACAGAGGAGGTTCTGTCCATTCTGAGGCTGCTGCGCCCGCTGACCGAGCCAGAGTCCAGTCAGCCGGAGGTCTGCGACGGGGAGAACGGCCTGGACACCGCCCTGGGCCAGCTGCAGAACGTGGCCCGTAAACTGGCCATCAGCCACACCAAACAGGTTAGATCCACTCACACCAACCTCTCCACGTTTCCAATTCCCCATTTTTATTGTGGTCCCAGTGTGTTTTAAAGGAGGGTCATTTGACATGGGTGGGAAATGATTCACACAGGAGATGTGAGTTCTAATGTGCTGGTGGAGTTTTCTTACTGTTATTCAGATAAAAACAGTGAGATGAATCAGAAATCAAAACATTCCATTTTGGTGGGATTAATGGTACAATTGAACTGTTAGTCCATTTGGCACCTTTCACTTCAGACTCAACCTCAGGCAAACATGCTTTCAGTTGGAACTTATAAAAGCTCATTGTTTGTCTTTTGGCAGGTCACCAAAGTGTCGATGTCGTCAAAGTATTTGTGTATCCATAGCCTAAAAATTCCCCCCCGAAGCTTCTTACGTAGGAACTCACGTGAAATGTTTCTGCGCCCTCGTGATAAAGCATCGTCAGTTTGCCTTAAAAATACTTTGCGAACAACTCCACCCAGGGGTTGACTTCACTATGCCGTCTGACAGGTTTACAGATTACAGCAAGTCAGCTGTGTGATATTAAAATCAAGTTCCTCCGAGTTTAACTGGTTGACCGGTGTGTTTTAAGTCTCACGAGTTCTGACAAAACACACTCCAGCCTGACTTTTATTCCTACATGTTCACTCAGGGGACAAAACATGGAAGAAATGGAGCTGACGAAAGCGCCATTCTGCAGCAGGCTCTGAGGGACAGAGATGAGGCCATGGAGAAGTGAGTTGACACACACGAACGGTCACGCTCCTTTTAATGGCCCGTGAATGGAGACGTTAGGGGAAAAAGGGGAAGCTGCGGGTTCGGCATCTATTCTGAGGAGTGAGCGCTTCTTTTCCGTGCGGCTGTGCAGGAAGAAGGCGATGGAGGCCGAGGTCCTGCGGAGTAAGACGGAGATGATGACGCTGAACAACCACCTGCTGGAGGCTGCGCAGAAACGCCTGGAGCTGTCTCTGGAGCTGGAGGCCGGGGAGAAAAACCCCCCACCCCCCCCCCCCCCCCGAGTCATTTTTGAATGTTTAACCGAGAGGTGACGGGAGAGGCGGGCTCTCCCTCGATAAACAGATCTAAAGTCCACAAAGTCGTAAAGAGTGAACATGTGGCACTTCGCCTGAGGACTCTAAAAAAAAGTGGAACACACGTGCGCAAATCCACAGAAGAGCGTTAATTGGAACAGAGCACAGGTTTCGAACCGAATGCTGTCAGACACGAAAGACGCACGGAACGATGTGCATGCTGGCGTTAAAACCAGCTGCTATCCTGCCTCATGCTTTCAGAGTCAGCTTCCAGCAGCTTTAGCTCCACCGCTAAAAAGGAATAAGCACATCTGTAACATCTCTATGACAAGCTGTGCACGTCAAGTGCATCATTTGTTCCAGTTTTTTCTCATATCTCCACTGTCAGTAACAGTCAGCAGATATTCCTGTGGAAAGAGAAGTGGGAAATGAGTCACACACACACACACACACACGCCTGGAATCTCTCCTCCCCTCATTTCCTGTCAAATATCCGTGTATTCTTAAAGAAGCAGATTTATTTCCTGGTCTTCTCTCGCTTTAGGATGACTTTCAGCGGATCCTCCAGCAGCAGGTGCACAGCCAGCAGCAGGCCGAGCAGGCCCAGAAGAAGACCTCCCGCCTGGGCCTTCTGAGGAGAACTAACAAGCCCATCCAGAGGCCGTCCAACTTCCCCATGCCCGCCCCCGCCCCCACCACCAGCTCCAGCCAGATCTTTGTGTCCCGGCCCGCGGCCGCCCCCAGTCCCAGCATCCCCCCCTCTGCCAGCGCCCCGCGCAACTGGATGGACAAGCTGAAGAAGGGCAAGGGCGGTCGTCACGGAGACCAGGACGCCGCCGAGCAGGACGCGTGGGGCCGAAAGGACGATGGCTTCCAGGTGGGGTCACTGGACTGATCGGATGAGGTTTTTTTTTTTTTACAGCGAGAACACTTGCTGTGACGCACATTTGTCCCGCGTGGCTTTCCGAGTCCACTTTGACAGCAGAAAAGACAGAGACACAGGTCTGCTGAGAGGGGAACGCTCCTCTGAGCCCGTTGCCCAGTTTCCAGCAGGATTTTATGACTCGCGAGGTCGTCTGTTGGCTCGCATTCTTCTGCTGACAAGGTCCAGAGCACCAACAGAATACCAGTTTCCCTCACATCAGTTACGTTTACCCGATGATTGATTCTGTTTTTTTTCTTTAGGTAGGGAGATCAAAAGATTAAAGCAGTTTATATCATGGAATTTCTCTCTCTGGAAAACATTGATGACCCAGTTTATTTTCATAAATTTAAAACATTCTGAGATTTGTAATAAATTCTTAGGAAACAAGTAACAAAGTAAAAGTATTATCTGACTGTGTTAAGTTTCTCAAATATTGTAAATAAATGAAGGATTCTATTGAAAAGCTACTGAAATGACTCACTTCAGATCCCTCAATATAAACACATTTACTTGGTGCAAGAAAAAAAGAAAGATGAAATGCTGTTGAAGATTTCGGATATTTTATTGTATAATGTTCCCAACAATATATAATCCATTTCTATAAGCAACTTGCAAACATTACATCTTTTTGTATATAGGCCAATATTTAGAATAAGTGCCACCACAGTGGTAACAAATTTAGTTTATATATTCATCTCTATATAAATATACAGCACAGCAAGGGAACACCTGATAAAAGAAAAAGGCATGCTCATAGTCAAAGAGAATACAATCCAGTACAGATGTTTGCCGTCTCGGGACAGCTGGCTGCTGGCAGAATGCGCCCGCTTTACTGCGACACTGCGGAAGCTGCAGCAAGACCTGCATTCAAATGTCAGCCCTACCTACGCCCCCCCGACAATCTATTCATCGTGTGCCAAAGGGAGCGCCACTCCTGAGGGAGAGGAGGATGAAGGGGGTGACCTTTCACAAACGGGGGATTTAGAAAAAGAATAAAATAAGAAGTCAACCAACTGAATTCCGACCCTTCTAAAGCCTTTTTACATCTATATTAACATCTAACTAGATAAAACACTTACAGTAGTAAACATTTAGTGCTTTTTTTTTTTTTTTAATAGCGCTGTTAATTCACATAGAACTGGCAACCCAGCTGCCAATCTGATCCCTACCGGACAGTACTGTAGAATAGACTTCTTAATAAAGTTTTACTGTAATGGAAAAGGAGCTCTTCAGAAAAGAGGCACATACACATGAACAACACCCTGCTGCTTCATACAGATGGCAGTTTCACTACTGGACGCAAGTCATCTAACGCAATGGAGACTGAAATGATAAGAACACAACTACACTTACGGAACGACACGCATTGTTGCAGCATATATCTGTGACATACCCATATAGAGCTGTGCATTATTTGTAGGGATAAGTGAGAAACTAACAGGGGAACTAGGAAAACATTTGTTTCATCAAACACTGAAAGGACTGACCAGGTACAGACGTAACGACATCACCACGGCTCGCCGCCAGACATGAGAGGGCTGTAGAGGAGGAAAAGAACGCAAAATGTCCAGTGGTCACCTGAGACCTCAGGAGACAGTTTGTGCTAAGACTGCATTGGAGGCTTTCAGCTTGGTGTTCTCACACGATTACGTGGGCATAGAAATCTCACCAGCACTGTGCGCGTCCGGCCCACATGACAGATTTACCAAGGAGGAGAACCCACAACGCACAGAACAAACCGCTATCGCCGACCGGTGATGACTACATCCCACAGCAGGCCCCTGCAGCCTCAGAGCTCAGAGCTCCAGCATCTCACTCCCCTTTTCTCCACGGGAGGCTTCTCAGGTATTCCGTGTTTGTGTCGCCGCAGTACCAGAACCACTTACAAGTACTCGGCCCACACACACCATTCTGGTATTCTGGGATAAATGTGTCAAAAGAATAGAAAGTGGCGCGCAAATGAGAATTGCTTTGGATTATTACGTCTCTTCGAAATCCACTCACATCGTGTTAAACTGGAGATATTCTCATTGCTGTTATCTGCCCCGAAATGAACAAAAATGACATCTACGCCTATCTAATTTGGTAACACTACATGTCTGGCAGAGAGATTGAGCTAAATAAAACTTAAGCAGCACTTTCACATACTGACCGATAACGTTCATAGGTAAGAATTGACTTCTGCAAAAGAGCGAGTTTGGTCCGGTGTTGGCAAACATTAGCATCGTTAATGACTCCACTCGGTCGTGCTGAAGTTACTGAAATCTCATGTTCAGTTTTCTGCGAGGGAACGCCAGGAGGTGCTGAGAGTTAAAAAGTTCTGAGGTGCAGGCGTGGGTCAGTTAAGACTGAAGGAAGGAGCTGATGGAGCTGATGAAATCTAAGGGTTTGTCTGCGTGTATCCAGTGGCTCGCGTCTGGAATGTACTGGATGTCAGCGTAGGGGAACAGCCTCTGGATTTCTGGGTAATCGTCAGAGCTGAGACAAGGAGAGAAGAAATTGACTGGAGTGATTACGAAACACTTAATGTACAGACAGAACATGCAGACGAGTTGAGTTGGTGGTTTGAGGGCTTTTAAAGTCACGTGGATTTATCTGCATGAGATCAAATAAATCCTGCGGGTTCTGTGTAATACCTGATATAAGCAGAGCTGGCACCACCCAAAAACAGCGTAGGTCCCTCATAGATGGTCTTAAAACTGGGAAAACTCATGATTTCTTCGAGGTGCGCCGCAATGGCCTCCAGGTTCACCCTCCAGCTATAGTGTCCATTGTGTTCCACCAGGTTAGTCAGCAAGAACTGACGCACTGAGTGCTCCTGAGGGAGGGGGGGGAAATACACATTCAATATGAAAGACTTGACAAAAAGAGGTACAAGGCAAAAAAAACAAACACAAACATTGGCAGACCTTGACCAAACTGCGCAACTGATCCTCAGCCATTCGCCTGGCGGTGGAACGAGGGATGTCAGTGGAGATCTTCATCTCCTGCATGGCCTGGATGTAGTAGCGAAAGTTGGTGCGTGTGGGAGACTGGGCCGGACTGATGTCCACCACCACTAACCTCTCCACTAAAGAGGGCTACAAAGAGAAACACACACACCGAGATATGATAAAGGCAAAACGGATACAATACAGTTATAATAATCTAAAATGTTTGTACTCTTTTTAACTTTTCAGCTCCTTTAAAAACAGTTTACATAGTAAATTTTCATGGACATATATAAATAATGAACTGGGTATTAAAGTGATAGTGTTCAGCTCTGAGGATGCAATACATCAAAATGACATAGCCATAAGATTTGTTATATATCTTTATGGGAGCATTTTTGGTGAGAATTTCCCTTAACATTCCATCAAATCACTACAGCAAAAAAAATTCTAAAGTTTTGAAAGGAGATCAGTGTTAGACGTCTTTAGTTTTCAGGGCTTGAGGCAGCACCGTCTTAAAAACAAACAATCCTGTCCTGGAGGCTTCCAGAAATCTGTCTGTGAGCACAGTTCCTCCACAAATGCAAGATAAAGCTCTTATCTGTATGTGAACATGAACCAGATATGCTGCTACCTTCTCTGGGCCAAAGTTAGTTTTTAAGTGAACTGAAACAAAGCTGAACATTGAAACACCTCACATGGAAAATACTTTTAAGAAATCAAATCCTTAAGACCAAAAAGGAGAGGGCCCATTAAGCTCATTATCAGCACTCAGCTCAACATTGCGTGAGCGCATAAGGAATAAGCAACTCTTCCATCTGCAAAGCTGAATCAATGCTGTGAGGGATGCAAAGGTTTCAGAGCAATATAAGCCCCCACTAAGATGAGGCCTTGATCAAAAAGGCCTTTTGCATTTTTACGAGACAATTCTCAAAAGCATCCTCCATTTTTATAGTGGCTGCAATCATTTAAAACATGTTTTGCAGCATGAAACAGTGGCTCACCTGTGTCAGCGCAGTGGTCATGGCTGTCTTCCCGCCCATGCTGTGGCCAATGAGGACGCATTTCTCGATATGCAGCTGGCTGAGGAGGTGTTTCAAATCACTGCTCATTGCCTCATACGTCAGCACGGGGTTGTGAGGGCTGTTTCCGTGGTTACGGGCATCTACAGTCAACACCTGACTGGACAAAGGACAGTTAAGACTCTTGGAATGGGGAAAAGGACGCAACAAAGTGGAAACAAAGTCAACAAGCCAGCAACGTGGCATGTTTCAGATTATTACAAAAGCTGGAAGTTGTTACAAACGACTGGCCAAAAACGGCTGCTTACACATGATGTTTATTGTAGGGTGGCTAATTTTCAGGCTGTTTAGAATAAACTCACAGTACATATACAGAAATTGCGTCGGGTGCAACGACAATGGGTGTGAAATTTTCTTCATTGCATTACCTTTCGGCCTGTGCGCTGCACCAGGGACTTCGCTATCGAGTGGAAGTTCGATTTACTGCCAAAAAGGCCGTGTAGAAACACCAGGGGAGTGCTCTCTCCTTTCCCATCGAACACATCGTAAGTCAAGTTGACAGGACTGCAGGGACAAAAATGTATAAAGTGAGTTGATAAATAAAACGTATCAATCACAGTGAAGAATCAGGTCCCTCAATGACATACACGACAGGAAAAAGGTCTAACCAACTGAACTTTCAGGGAACGGAAACAATTGAGTTCCCAGTATAAATGCAGATGTTCCATTAAACCTGGTCGCTAATGTTCACTTATGAACACTTCCTTTGCAAAAAATTGTTTTGCCACCACCTGCTGGTCCAGCAAAAGTAAGTAAACAAGTTAAGATTGAATTAATTTCAACTAAATTGTCCTAATATCTGATGCTTAGCGTACTTTAAGAATGATCCTGTTAGCATAGAGGTGCATATTGCTGCATGACTCAATCTGATTGTAATGTTTCCTGTCTAAACCATGACCTTTCCAGCTCCTATAGCAAAAGAACATTTAACAGATACACACATTTTCCATACAATCACAGCATTTCCTTTCCCTCATTGTATCATTGTTTGAATCTTATGGCAATGTGATTTTAAATCTTTGCAACTACAGATATTGACATCACAATACAGTCAAATAAAGAGGTTCAATGATCCAACGACATAATCCGTTGAAATGGCCCTGACAAATATCACTGAATCCATAACAATTAGGTTTCCATGAGAAAGCTCAGGCTACGCTACATCTTCTCTGCAAGTTACTTACATTATTGATGGATCTGCTCATTTTGTTTGACCATTCATTCAGTCATTGATTTGGTCTGTGAAATATTAATGACGGTGAACAAACACACGCGCTTAAAGTCAGAGATGATGTCTTAGTTATTTTGGTTGGCAGCAGTATTCAGGTTACAGGGAGATGAGAAAAGCCAGGCTGCACTTAAACCAGAGGCCCAAACCAGCACATAGATGATGCCAAACTAGTTTAATATCTGACTGAATCATCAGATTATTTGACTGCTCCTACGGTTTGTAATATACTATTTTCGTCCCGTTGGTTCAATTATTCAGATTCTATATAAAAGCGCTGTCCATCTGATGGACAGAAAGGCAACTGAAGCGTTAGCTGGCTAAGCGTCTGCATTTACAGTAAATGTGAATTGCCGTGCCATACCAAAAATATACACTTTACACGACTTACGGTTTCATTAATATTCTTAAACCTACAAAACAAGGCCGTTGTCTGAGATGCTATTAGTAGCTGCGGCAGCTGTCGGGATGTGGGTGCAACATTTTGCTATACCAAGGTGCCTGAATGTCATTTATGTAAAACTGTGGAGCTAACGGTTCACAAACACGTAAAAGCGAAAAAAATGGAAATTTATGAACGTCAAACGACAACGGCAAAAAAGCTAAATATAGAGTATTTGATAACAACAATGGAGGGCTTTCTCGCGGCACCACAGTACAGACCGGGCTGGCAGAGGGCACGCGCTAGCCGGAAGCTAACGGGGATACCTGGATGAACTGGCCGTCCGGACCGCGGGAGCCATCCCGCACACATCCTGCTGCACGGGGAACAGACGGCAAGAAGGCCTGCCGCTCAGCAGCCCTCTACGAACAAGACGACAGAAAGCACTCATGGCAGCATATGTCCGGTTACCGAGCGGTCGTCAAACAACATGTGCGTTTCAAAACAACCCCACTGACACCGGAGTGAATGTGCATTCAGAGCGGCCGGAGGTCGACACCACTGAGCCTCAGGTCTGTCAACAGCTGATGCTGCGTCATGACGTCACACGCACATAGACACTGGGATTTGTTCTCGGAGTTTGGTCTGTCAGGCTCTTAGCTCATTTTTAAAAATGCCTCTTATGACATGAAAATTTCCCTCATTGGCCAACTGACGCCAAAGAAATAAATTCTTATCAAACATTTGTTCAAAAGAGATAGCGTCCGTACACGTATGTGATGAACAATGATAAGCACACTCACGTAGCAGCAAACTAATCCGGTGAGCATTAAACCTCAGGGGGCGTTCAGGGAACACTCGCTAAGGCCAGCAGAGCCTGGCAGCAGCAGATTTACCATCCTAAATGTTAAAAACCGATTCAAATGTTTGAATTTAGTAGCATGATGAATAGCAGTTTTTATTTTTTGGAGGCAGCAGTACATTCTTACACAATTAAAGGAAAATTTACCAACTGTATATACTTTTTTCAATAATACATTAAGCCATTAGATGGCGTGTTCAAAAACAATGTTGAGTGTTCAAACTGCAGTAAAACACCCAAATAGAAAGGTTGGATGTTATTTTTACGTCACCCTGAAAGATGTCACCAGAAAGCAAAAGAGCTGTACATAAATAACAGTTGTGTTGGAAAATGGTGTCCTACCAAAGATGTCAAAGCTCATTAAACGTTATGAATTAACTTATATTTTTGTTTGTAGGTAAAAAAAAAACAATATTTTCTCCAAATACAAGCTTTTTATTCTGTATATAAATTTACTCATCTACCATGTCTTACCAAACCAGATGTGTTGCTATTTTCAACCCATGGGTGGCAGTGATTCTCTTTTAGTGAAAAGTCTGCAGGACCATAAATTGAAAAGGAGGAAATTAGATGCAATGATCTCCTCTGAAACATAAAACATAACTAGGGTGAGCACAAAAAATGACAGCAGATCACAGGACCCAAGATAATCTAATAAAACCAGTGAGCCAAATTCAATAGGGGTTTTTCTGCGTCTCTTTTGCTCGTCATCAAGCATTCTCAAAGCCAGGCATGATGAAGCTAAATTAAACTTACTCCGCAGTGCTCACAAGTTGAAATAGTTTTCTAGCATCAAATTAAACATTTTTGTGACACTATTTGATCAAATGCCAAATTCTGACTCCTACTGCTGACTGCATCAGCTCAGTTTTTGCTCCCCGTAAACTTACCTATATTATTATCATCTACTTTCAGGCCAGAATCTTATACTCCACTATTCTCTTCTCCTCTGTTCTTTTTCTCCTCTGTTGTCTTCTCTTCTCTTCTCTTCTACAGGGGCTACTGATTTTTGGGGTACTCAAAGGTTAACTTTAACAGATATTAAAGTCTAGTAATTCATCACGTTATGGTGGACAAGCTAAGATATATCAGTAAAGACATAAAGCGCCCAAACATGCACACACAGACACAGCTTTGTACCCTATCCATGCCACTAGGTGATGCCAATTTGTGCAACAGGACTAGGTTTAAGGCAAATAAAACCTTAATATGATCTGGTAGAATAGCACAGATACTTTGAGAACATGATATGGAAAATGATTTGATAATTACTTGTTACAATGAGATATTTGCATATGTGTGCTTTTAACAACCTGTCTTTTGATATGAGGAAGTGAAAGAACTCGCAGAGCCTGGGCTTATTTGCCTGGTCTTCAAGCATTCATTGCCATGGGTGATGTGTCCCCCGAGATAAAGCATGCTGTAAGCTGTCACCATAGCGATGGCGTGAGACAATGACCTCAGGGAGTGTGGTACAAAGAGAAGAGGAAGATGAGTTTGCATTTTTTATCATTTCTTTTTTGTTGCTGACTGTTTCAACACACAGTGGTTTCACATTGAACAACTGCACTGTAACATCAATTAGGTGTCACTATTCTAAAGCGTTGAATAAGAATTTATATCTTATACTGCCTTTGTTTCAGTAACTCAACTCGAGTTTCAAGTCACTATTTGTTCGCTGCAAGATGGAAAACAACAGAAAAACAGCATCTTCCTAAATCGTTTGCTCTCAAATTCTGCCTTTCAAGATACACATTACTGGAAAGGAAGCTTTGCACTTTTGTTTTTTAATGACAACATCAGGGACATCTTAAATAGAAACATATAGTCTTATAAAGGTGAAATTGAAAGAGTTTTTGTTTTCTGTCCGTTAGACTTGTTGCTGCCTTCTCCTCTTTGCACACGGCATGTCTTGATTTTAAATTTAGATTAGTGAAATGTAATCCTGGGTTGCTGTTTTTACTGCCAAACATGGTCCTGGAAAATTAATTTTCATACACAAATGGACAAAAGCTCTTGGAGAAGTAGCTGAAAATAAAACCCCAAAAGTAATCCAGTGCCACTACTCTGTTTTTTCAAACTGACACAAGTGTGATGAATAAACATGATCTAAACAACAAAAAATAAGTTTGAACTCAATCTGCATTCCAGTAAGCTTTCATCATGTACATTTGGATGGATTTGGATGAGACGTATGTGTGATCAAAACATTATGTAGTGTATGATACACAACTTGAAATGTATTCACTTTTTACTGCTGAACCAGAATTGAGGTGGCTGACTAAAGCTTTATCTGTGATACAGAGAGCATTATGATAAGACTACAATTTATGCTTTTGATGAATGTAACGAAGCGGACAAACAATTTCCTGTTAAATGTAAACAGCGTAAAAAAAGTCTGCCGTATCTAATCTTCAGTGCAGGACAATGCACTGTAAAACAAAATGGTGTCATGCCAAATAGGAAACCAAAGTTATGAGGAGTATTATCTCTGCCTCTGGTCGCTCTGGGCCAATTTCAAAGGTTACGCATGTTCACTGGCCTGAGACGAGGAAGAACAATTTAAAGGTTTATCATCTTCTGTAGGGATGCAGTGAAAAATATTAAGTTAGAAAAAAACTGCATATGGTACATATTCACATGTATTGAAAAGAGGTATTACTAGTTGCCAGTGTCGGGAAAAAAGAAAAAATTCCACATTACATGTGGTAAATCTTTCTTTTGTTTCCAGTCCTTTTACTTCCTCTTTCCCTTGTTTGGTCAGGTTTCAAATCCCTTTTGGGATTTTCTGTCCAATCATTATGCTGACTATGGATTTTCATAATTATTTCCAGACAATTTTTGTTCCTGGTTCTAACTTTTGTTTCAGTTTTTGCTTGTTTCAAAATCAAGATTCCCTCATATTTTGTCATCACATTTTGAAATGGCTAACTTTCAGAATATTGAACATCCACCTGCAAGTAGAAAATTATAGTTTATGAGATCAGATCATCGTCATGTTTTACACAGTGACACATTTTTCATGGAACTGGAGCTCTGGAAAGGAAATTCCAAGATAGATAGCTGAGATAGATTTAGATTTACAAATGTATGCACAAAGGTTAGTGTAGTTGTCAGGACTGACATCAGGACTTTGGGTGGTTTGATTTCTTCCCCTGTGGATGTGTGGGCTTTCTAAAAGTAATCTGGTGGTTACGTGTGGTTGTTTATCTCATTTGTCTTTGTGTGGGCCTGTGGTGGGTGGGCAACCTATCAAGCAACATTCAGCTCTTTTGGGTATCACATCCTTACATCTGCAAACCTGAATTGGATTAAGTGCTTGTAAAAAACGGCGGGATAATTGTTTTGTATTGCCTTTTCCCATCCTATTTGTCAAATGTCCAACTCATTTAATGCTGCTGGTTGATGGCATGACTCTAGGGTCTAAGACATTTGAGCAGTTGATAGTACAGTATGTCAAGCAAACAGCATAATTATGTTTCAAACTGATAATTTATCTACTTGACGGGTTGATATTCACAGGTTAACTGCCCATCAACTGATGAAAAGTTAACCTGTGAATATCAGTGATAACCTGTGCCGATGCTTCATTTAGTCTCTATCAGACACCTTCTGGACTTTCACCGTCTTGTTGTTTGTGAACAAAAGCCACATGTTAGTTAAGAAGGAGAAGTTAACATCATAATGTGACATTTGTGGACAGTCTTTGGACCTTGCTCTTGTTGCCTCAGGCCATTCTTCTCACCATGCTTACTCACTGGTCAGGTGCACATTGTGGGAAGTCACGCTGAGATGCTGCAGAAGTGTTGCATAGAAGTGCATTTGAATGGTCAACTAACAATACCTGACGTGCGTTAAGATTAGTTTAGCATTTCGAGAACTCATCAACAAGCACCACAAAACGACTCTTCTGCGCCCTATTTGAAAAACAAATGAAAAAAATGTCCAATTCAAAAATGTTTGTACAACTTGCGAATGAATGATCAACTGAAAAACTGAGGATGGATGATTCATGTTAAGATATTAGTTTAGTTTAGCTTATTGGAGCTTATTTGTTTTTGCTTTTCTACTTTTGATGGTTAGTTTTCCCTTTAATATGTCTAAAATATTTTTTGGAAAATATAACAATTTGCTAAAGCTTTATTACTTTATAGGCCCATGATCAATCAGATACAGTTCCATGAAATGTTCAAACTGAAATGAAAACATTCTGAAATTTCTCATTTAAAGTATTTAGTATTTAGACTTATCATCATATTTATTGCAGATATTAGTCAAATTCCACTGATTTCCATCTAATTTGAATCAGATCACATGGGTATGGCTAGTTGTGTTCTTAGGAGAACGCGTGCGTCTGCATGTGTGTATAACTAATGCAGAAAAAACTGTGGAACTGTAAACTGATAAACTATCTTTGGTTCAGTTTTCTACAGATAAAGCAGTAAAATGATTTGATTAAGTGGTTCAAGATATTCATATGACCCTGCAGAGTGTCCTGACTGCGCATTAATCAGACTGATACTGGCTAGTCAGCTCAGCCTTATCTCTATCTTATCTGTATTTCCTTTGGTGCACAATAATAAGAAGAGTTGTTCTAATGGTGAATTTAAAACAAGTTGCATGGATTTATTTGCTATAGCTGTGTAATCCAACTAAAGATCGCAGTAAGCAGACATAGAACCACAGGATGCTCCGTCATCCATTTTTCTCATAATTAACACCCACCCAACACAACCTTATTATCTTTAGTCATACTTTTTAAAAAACCTTTCTTATTCTATGTGAAACTTTTAGATTGACCCATGTGGATTTGCAAAATGGGACCTTAATGTCTTCCACTTTTTAAGATAGTCACCTACAGCTATAGACTTTTTTTCCTTTTTCTTTTGCATGTGTTTGTGCATGGATTTTGTGTGCTGTTGTAGCAAAAGTATGTCTCTGGAACAAAGATGGCTTCACATAAAACTGCTATAAAAGGAGTGCTAACCAGTTTTATGGACAGAAAAATTCTTATTTTAAGACTGAAAGGTGTGCCAGCATTGCTAGACACTTAACCTTCACCCAGTAGATCAGAGTTCATTCGAGCCACAGCAAGACAAACATCATGACATGCCTTTAAATAGATCTTCTCAAATACTGCATATTACCCAATAAAAACGATGTGGCCTGCTCTAAAAGACATCTCCCTTTCATTTGTATTTCACACTATTATAGCAGTAACAAATGTAGAGGCAGTTCTTCTTTTCTGGCTAATGTTAGTCTAAGATGTTTGCATAACCATGGCTCTACAATTTTTTGATTCATTCTAATTCTAAATGTCCAAGAAAAACTGTCATCTGGATCCACATGAATTAACATACATCAAGAGGCCTTAAGCTATTTGGAGGAAGTGGTGATGGAAATGAGAACTGTTTGGTTAAAAAGACTAAAGTAAATGCATTTTGTTCTTGTGAAAAGGAACTGGCACATTTGAAAAAAAACAACCCCAAAAAATCAGGATGTCTGGCACATTGGCAATCAAAGTGAATTATATGACAAAAGGATCACTGCGAAATGTCCGTCATTCCCTTCAAGTCAAGCCAGCCACTGCCTAAACAAAGAAGTCCAACTCTGAAAGCCCAACCCAACTTTAAGACTATTTAAACTGTTTGATTTGGACTTGCTCGTATTTGTTTTGGAGGCACCTGCTTTGCTATAGTAGTTTTTTTTTGTTTAAAAGAAAGAATTGTGTACAGTTTTTTTTTGTGCAAAGAGGCTTTTATTAAAATGGTCAGCACATCTTAAATTCTAATATTGAAACATTGAGACAATTTTACACTCTGCAGCAGTTGTGGTAATCTGTCATAAGGATGTATGACTGACATGCATAATAAAGATGTCCTGCAGTTATTTAACCTAAAAGGCATAACAAAACTATGTAACTATACATATAGATATGAAAAGAACAAAACAATCATTATACACACATTAACATGCATTAAAATATATTTTGTAACACAAATATAAAATAGAAAGAATTTAAGGACCTGATACACCTAATGAACTGAACCTGTTCTGATCTTTGTATTTTCTGTGTCTTCAAACAGTGAAACTGTGAGGTGAAAGATAAAATTGTTTCCTGGAGCACTATCAGTGATCCACCTTCAGTTTCAGTCTCAGCAGAAACTCACTTAAGCAAATATTACATGCAAAACACACACACGGACAAACTCTCAGTGAACAATCGCACAACCAAATTCATGTAAAATGAGAGCTGGCTCTTCCTTGTCATTTCCAGGGTTACACATCCTTTTTACAGCAAGTTTAAAAGACACAGGAAACACGACACCACACACGCAGAATATGCAAGCAAGTAAGTAATATTTTTGGCTTTGAAAAATCTAGTATAAATACTACTTAAACATATCAAAAGAATAAAGTCAACTCTGATAGAAAGTGGGCTCTCTTAGAGGACTGACATTAATGTGAAGGCCAAAAGCAAGGCAAACAGATTATTAATTGAGCAAGCATCTTCATCTCGGAGTCTTTTATAAGGGTACACATTGGTGTTTCAAACATCAACAAACATTCACACTCACACACAAGTGCGACAGACACTCTCACTCAGTCCTACTCTCCTCATCAGTTTCTCAGATTCTTTTGAAATGTTCAGACATAGTCCTTCCTGTCGTATCCTCCACCTGCGCTGGTGCTGCGCGGGGCGGAGTAGGCCATGCGCGGTGGCTTGTACCTCTTTTCTTTTGGTGGGCAGCTGGTGCACAGCAATGCCCCTCCAATCAGGAGCAGGGCGGCTGCTCCCCAGCCGATGTAGAGCGAAGCTCCCAGTTCTCTTTTCTGGGCATTGGTCAGTACGGGGTTGTAGAAATCTCTGATGACGACGCTGGCGCTCCAGGACACGGGGATGAGGACCAAAAGGCCGGACAGGATGAAGAAAATCCCGGAGATGATCATCACTTTACCTTTGGTCGGCTCGTCTTCGATGCAGTTGGTGCACTTGGCTCCGACGATGGCGATCATGACCCCCATCACGCCGAGTATAATGGAAATGATGGTCATGGCCCTCGAGGCCTGCAGGTCCTGGGGCAAAGCCAGCAGGGAGTCGTAGACCTTGCACTGCATCTGTCCTGTGCTCTGGGTGACACAGTTCATCCACAGGCCCTCCCAGATCGTCTGGGCAGTGACGATGTTGGCCCCGATGAACGCCGTCACCCTCCACATAGGCAAAGCACATGTCACTATCGCAATGATGAATCCCAGGAAACCAAGGGAAATGCCAACGATTTCCAAACCCATCGACATGTTGCCTCTTTGTCTGGCAAAAGACTTCGGATGAATTTTAAAAGGCTGTCAAACAAACAAAGCCTCTCAGATCACGACGGGGACTCGCTGCTTTGTTTTCCAGACTTCTGTTGAAGTGGAGAACCTGCATATGGGTGTGATGTGGCCATGAGGATGCTGCCACGGAAACAAGAGATCCTTTATACCTCAGGGGAGCAAGGAGGAGTCCCTTGGCAATGATGTCAGCAGGAGGCTGTCACCATACACACAGACACAAAAAACACATCCTGGGCATGTACAGTGTGACAGAGGAGGTGGAGGCAGGGCAGAAGAGAAGAACTGAACTGTGTGAGTGTGTGTGTTTGGGGGATGGGCAAAAGGTAAACTGACTCCTTATTTCCAAGAAAAATCCACACTTCACCTCACCTCAGGTCTGCTCTTAAGAGGGTGATTAAACTGTGATGGATGAGTGAGTCTGAGGTGTTATATTGGCTAAATATAGATTAAAAATGGGTTTGAAGCAAAAGTTTGATGAAATATGTCATTTGAATTGCTTATGTCCACCTTAACCACTGTGGTAGGAGAAGGTCCTTGGGTAGTTTTTGTGTCTGACTTTAAATATTTGCTGTGAGTAAGCATAACAAGACAAATGTTCACCTGCAGGGAGAAAAAACACACGGAATGGCCCACAGTCGATGGTCCACATCTTTTGTTACTTCCTGGATCTAACCCTGGGATGGGGGAGAGTTTAAAAAAGTCAAGATTCAGAGGTGGTAAAACAAAGCTTTGGTGCAAACCGGCCTAACTGGACCGAAAGTCAATATGAACAGAGAGCCTAGATAATGGTTTAGCTCCCAGGCACCCTGAGCATACATTACCTGTGATCCTCTCAGTATCGGTGTGACAAAAAGTGAGCACACACCATTCAGGATGTTGTGAACAGTAGGTGCCCAAATGTTGTCCTCCGTGCCACTGATGAAACCTTTTCAGGAAAAGTTCATTCATTTATTCTAAGTACTTTTAAAACAGTTTGTAATATGATTTGCTGGAAACAGTTCAGTTTCAACAGGTTGGATTAAAAAATGACCAGTTCAAGTCCATGCAAACTAATACAATCCTTACATTAAATAATAGAAAAACATCTAATATAATATCAATAAAAATTATATTCTTCTTATAAAAAATAATCATAGACACAGGGAACATTTTTTTAAGCGGATTTTGTATATTTTCACTTTTCTGAAATATGTTTGGGTTGTTGGTTAAGGCCTTGTGACCTCTGACCCATCCCATGGCAGCTGTGGCCGGTTCTGATCGGATGGATTAAGCAAGTGTAGAAAGCTGATGGATTCACAGAACTCTTGCATGCTACTAGCTACATTCAGGTGATGTATCTGCGCTTCTACTTGGGTTGATGATGCTACTGGTCGAACAACCTCATTTGATGTTTCTATTACACACAGGAACATTTAGATGGTAAGGCCCAAATTAACCCTCATAAAGTTACCGAAAGAACACACAACAAACCTGACAGCTGAACAACAGGGAGAGTGTTTGGCGTTTCATCACAAGCATCTGTGATGTTTATAGAGCAACACACACTAAGGTTTTTTTCACTGGAATAACTGGTCAGCTACTGTTGTTACCAAAACAAGTGCAGAAACAAAAATGAAGCTGTTCTATCTTGTAAGACAAGACTTATTCTCAGATATAAAACATCCTGCTCAGACATTTTTGGTGGAGCACATTTTTCACTTATACTCAGTCCGGAAGTGCTATTACCTAAACTAGCTCTAAATATAATTGTATGTAAGTGATGCATGAATTAATGATGAGTTTTTTTTTTTTTAAATGTCCCGCTCTTGCCATAAATAGTCACCGCAACTATCTGCAAAAAAGCTTTGATTCTGGTTATACAAGTGCTAGAATTGAAAAAGAAATATTGACAGTCATCTTTCCTAAGTGTAGATGCCAAAGGGTTCAAACACAAAAGCTGCACATTCAAATTTTGACACACTTGTATGTGTTTGTGGTGAAGGTAAACAGAAACCTACTACACAACCATGAGGTGGTGACTTAGAATTGTAACTACAACTCATTACAAACTGTGAAGAGATATGGATTTATTGAACGTCAGTAGGGAAATTTACAATCTTCTCAGCAGAATATAAAACAATAAATAGAAATATTGACAACTGTTTATATAACAAACTCATGCTTATCCCTACAATTGAGTGTTCAGTAATCCCAATACCAGTTTAAGGCACATTTTACACTAACCTGTGTGGGACTGATCTTAATGTAAAATGTTCAAAAAGTATTCCATGAATAACTGAAATTTAGAAATGTAGTTATGGTGCAGTAGTGACAGCTGCTCACCTGCCAGAATAGACATTTGACTATTCAAAACAGTAAATGTGACGTCTGTGTGAAAACACAGTAGGCGCTGAATAGAAAACATGCCCTGTCCCATCACGAGATTAGGCAACTGGTTGAGTAAATGTGAGTGTATGTGGCTGTTTGTCTCTATGTGGCCCCGTGATGGACTGCACCCTGTCCAGTGTGTGCCCTGCCTCTTGCCCAATGTCAGTCAAGATAGGCTCCAGCCCCCTGTGACCAGAAATAAACAATATAGACAATGGATGGAGAAAACGCATTAGATAAGGCATGGTAAAATCATTAGTTTAATGGATTTACAATGAATACAATCCTGGGGGTCTCTTTTAAAATAGTGACCTAAAAATCTGTCCTTTTAAATGAAGAAATATATGTAAGAGAAAATAGAAAATTATCAACACAAAATAACAACTTTTTTAAAAACTGGAATATCCCAGACAATTCTTAAATAGGGATCTTGTAAATTAATTCAATCATTCTGTATGTTCAAACTAAATGTTTATTTAGGCTAAACGTGAAATTAAATAGAACATTTCTTAAATCAAATCTATGGATTAAAAATTGATCAGACAAAAACACTTTTTATAGTAAAAAACTTGATTACTTTATTCTTTAAGATATCATGTGTGCATTTTAAAACAACACAATAGTCACTTCTCTTCTTTACATTATATTAAAAGTCCGAAAATGTGCCAAAGTTCACATGCAGAAAAGGTTGGTCAAATAAAAGGAAAATACATGCTTTGACTTATGAAAATGTCAACACAACAACATTGAAAGATTAAATATGGTGGAAATAAAACACATGACATGGCTTACCTACGCTCTAATACATTTTTGATTTTATAGAGCTGCTTTCATTTATATTTACATCTCACTCCCTTATTTTGACCTTCCTTTGGAACCCAATAAATTCTGCTTTGCTAATCTGTATGATGACGGATATCTGTGACTCAGCCTATATTTGTATTTTATAAAAACACCAAGAAAAATGTGTCATCAAAACTCACTTAGTTACAACAGTGTCTCTGTGTACTTTGAAAATATTTACACACTAATCAGTGCAATCAGCTTAATGATAAACAGACACAAAAAGTCCAAGTAATGAGCAAGAATAAATATAGAAAATAACAGTGTTCCTTGAAATGTGTCTCATTTTTAAGCCCTGTTAAGATATATGTCCTTAACCTTTTTTGTCATATTTGGTCTTTTACCAATGAAAAAACATTATGATTATCCATACTGGCTCATTTTACCCGATTGCACTGAGTAAACCATATAAACAAAAGGTAAAAGGCTACCAAATTTACTACAGTGACTAAAATATCTGCATATAGTCATAGTCTTTAACACATACAAATGACCAACAATGTCAGTTGGGAAAGCATCTGGTTTTCCTTAAACCAGTGTGATTGTTATATTAGTACAATTCCGTGAAAATATACAAATAATCAGGATACATCTAAAGGCGACACAAAGGGGAGTTACAATCCTCGCCAATCCATTGTCGGTCCTCATCACACGTAGTCTCTTTTGTTGTACGAGCTTTGGGCCACAGACCTCGGAGCGGCGGAGTACGCAATTCGGCTTTGTGGGGGAATACTGTACCTCGCTGCTTTTTCTTCTTTTGGGGGACAACTGCAACAGAGGATTGATCCCCCAATCAGAAGCAGGGCGGAGGCGGCCCAGCCCAAATACAGCGCCGCTCCGATCTCCATCTTCTGCCCGGAGGGGACGATTGGGCTGTAGAACTCTATGATGATGGTGTGCGCCGACCAGGAGACGGGCACGATCTGTGCTAGAGCGGCCGCGATGAAGGCTCCCCCGGAGGTGGCCACCACCTTGGCCTTGACCCCCTCTTCCTCGATGCAGTTGGTGCACTTGGCTCCCATCAAGGAAATAAGGAGCGCCACAACCCCCAGGATGATGGCGACCACGGTGAGCGCCCTGGCCGCCTGCAGGTCCTGAGGCAGGGCCAGCATGGAGTCGTAGACCTTACACTGCATCTGGCCCGTGCTCTGGAACACACAGCTCATCCACAAGCCCTCCCAGTACACCTGAGCGGTGACAATGTTGGCACCTATGAAGGCAGAGACCCTCCACATGGGCAGGGCACAGCTGACTATGCTCAGTAGCCAACCCAGGACAGACAGAGAAATGCCAGCCAGCTCGAGAGCCAACGTTGCCATGGTGTCCTCCGTTATATGCTCCTTTCCTCTTCTGCGGTTTAGGTTTGGTTTATATTCCCTGCTTCTTCTTGCTCAATTCCCTCCTTTAATTTGTGCTCAAAGATCCTCGTTGTTGACTCTTTTTTTTCCAACAGGACTTGAGTTGAGCTTGTAACGGCTGCACCTGCTCCCGAATCCAGAGAAGCTTCTTTCACAATGTGATCTTAAGTTGCCAAAGAACCAGTAAATCATTTTATCGCTCAGTAGTCTGGACCTCCTACTGTAGGCGATAATTTCAAACCAAACCAATCAGGTGAGTTTCCGGCACTTGCCTCACTTAGCACCTGGGTGTGTTATTGGCATTTTGTGCGTTTTTTTTTTCAAATGGCTGCTTTTATGGTTTGACCTTTTGACCATGGTAGCTATGGGTGTGTCTGTTTTATTGTATCCAGTAGGTAATGAGTGACCAAGGCAGAGCTTGTAATGCAGCTGATAGCTGAACATATGTGACTATGACTGGTGTGCACACAGGTCTTGTAAAAGACGTGTGGGTTTAGTGTTTGTAGGTGTTTGCACAGATTTGGAGTGTGTATTTTTTGGGAGATGGTAGAAGGCAGGAAAACATATGCAATATATTTAGTCCATATCATATCTGAGCATTCTTATCTGTTTTCTTCCTCTACTTCGGTTTCCGCTCATTTGTTTTGTTTTCACTCTATTTATTTCACAATGCTATCTTTTTATAGAGTTGCCTGTTTTTTTATAGGAGAAAATTGTCTCATCCACACGTCCCCACAGTAAAACATGAGTTAATGACAAACCTGGCTGAAACTATTTTCTATACTTAGGTTTTAGTGCTCCAGTTTTTATCTCTTTTTGCAAATTTATGAGTGGTAGAGACTGAAATCTTTTTTATTGTTATGTTAAAGAGGAACACAGAGAGTTGAAGTAAAAAGCAAAAACACTATTAAGATCGGTAGGAAAAGCATATAGCTGGATTTTCGTAACGTGTCGCATGTGAAGCAAAGTGCACATTATATACTGTTATGACCTTTGACTCAGATGGACTTGAATGCACAACTCAGGTTGGAAGTACAAATCCAGCTTGTATATGTGTATACTTTATCATACTTTATTAATAAGCTTACATAGCGGCAAAATAAAGGCTAACAATGATAAGATAACACTTAATAACAGGAAATAAGTGAGAATTTTTTTTGGAAGAAAACCAACAAAAGATGTTTTTGCATTGTCTCCTGCGAGCTGTGTTTTAGTTTTATTCAAAGTAATTAATGATCTTTGTTGTGCTTCTAAAACTTCTTCATGTACACCATCTTTTTCCTAATTCCTAACTCTCAAAGCTTACCATATACTTCCTATGTATTGGTGTCCATAAAGGAGCTGTCACACAGGATGCAGCAAACATTGGGCTCCACTTCCAAACCTATTCATGTCGACATTCTCCCTCCCTAAGAGTTCAATAACATGGAGGGATGATGCTACATTGTATTCTGCCTCCATGGAATACATTACAGATGTTACTATGTGTGCTTCTGTACTGCAAGTGAGAACTATACCAGTATCTGTTGCCCCAAATGCAGCATCCTCAGTTTGATGCTGTGGACATGAATATACAAAGGTCCCTGTAATATGTGGAGGACAAACAACATGTTTGTAACATTGTGGCGGTTAACTGGGTAGACATGGATGTTAGTTAATGTATGACGTAAAGTTTATGTATTACTTATTAAACTCAGCAGAGCATATTTCTCGTAACAATAAAAAATTAACCTGGGCTGACTTACTAATTGATCATGTGACAAAGCTTTAGCATTTCATAACTGTTGAACAAAAGTCTTAGAACAAGCTCAAGATCTGATTTAAACGAACTGGGGAGGAGTAAAGATGGAAGCTTGCTTTATGTAAGTCTCTTGTAAAACATGAGCCTGAACATTAACCTCCAATTCTATGATTTTCTAAAGGAAGCGACTCTTTGCTAATTTATAATCTCTTTCATCAGGCATTTTCTCTTGTAAATACAATTGCTAGGTGGGTGTCATTGGATGTTTCTTTTTAAATCTCTCAAAAGAGTAGATAATGGAGTTTCAGTTTGCAAAAGGATTATCCATTCCCTTGTTAACTTCGGTGCCTGGATTTGGGAGTGTGTGTGTGTGGTCCACTTTAGGATAACGTGACAATTCGAACGGCTGAAGAGAATGGGTGTATCCCACTGCGTGTTTCACGAATAAATAAGACACAACCTTATCTATTTGGTTAGCTGCCAAAACACTTTGTCAGATAGTATATGTGCTTCGATCTGGAACATGCAGATCACAGTAACCTCTATAGAGGCTGAAATGTGGTCGTAAATACCACCCTCCAGAGTGGAAGTAGTGTATGGAACTGTGAGAATTTTGAAATCAGGGCACAGGGCTTGCAGGTCATATAATATGTCTAGACTGAATTTATGTAGGTCAAGCTTCGGGATAAATGATTACACTTATTGGCATTTGATCCATTTTGTGACATATCTGACCTAGAAAACAATAGGAGGAGACAAAGGTTTACTGCAGGTGTGTGATGTTTCGATTCTGAGTCACAAGGTTCAAGAAAATGTCACCTGGTTTATCATTAACAGGTATATTTCAAATGATCAATTTTGGTGGTTGTTGACTATTTCAAGCTAAATGTAAAGAAGATTAAGACTAATTAATAGGGCTACTCTAAAGTCAGATCAGACACAACCGGTTGGTTGACGTTTATTATTTGATCTGAGAGTGACGTGAGTCTATCACGCACTTCCTTTAACACTTGCTTCCTTGTGAAGGGAGTTATTCAAATAAAAAGATCTGATTATCATGATGAGTTTCTATTGGAGCAGAAACCAAAGGCCTTACACCTCTAAAAAGAATCCAGCTTCTGTTTCCTGTGAGTCAGAGCTGAAGTTCTTAAGAACCCTCCTCTTTCAATTCATGACAGTTTACCTTTCAGAAGTACACTCCTCGAAATGCACACAAACAGAGATATGCAAGATAACAGAAATATCTGGGCGGTAGGAGGTGCTGCCTGCCTTTGGCTACAGCACAGAAAGGCATGCAGAGAGGCAACGGTAGTGTTTATGTGGACCACACGCTTTTTCTTTCATGTAAACACTTAAACTTTTGAAAGTCAAACATGCTTTACATCACCAAACTCAAAGCTCTTAGTCAACGATCCCCACCAAAAACCTATTTCAGATTAATCTGAAGCTCCTCTCTTGTACTTTTATATGAACAAAAACAGCCCTGTAGTCTCACACTTCCTTCACACAATGGACCTTCAGTCAGAAGAACACAAAGCCTCCTTCAACTCCAACCTTACCATTCAGTTCAAACATTCTCTTTGCTTTCATCACTTTTTCTGTTCCCTATAAATCATATTCATTCCTTTGATAAATTATTTCATTAAAACAAAAAAAAGTTTTACAAAGGCTTGGGCCCAAACGTATACAGGCTTGTATCAAAGCTTGAGTGCCTAAGCCGTGCATCTGTTTTCAATTCAACATATTAGAGGACCTATATGTGTATGTACGTACACATATTCAAACCAATGTACATTTTATGACAAGGTCCATGCCTCAAATTATTTTCTCCAATTATTTACAATTTATTCCTAGTGAGGAGTGCTGAATATGCTGGCTGCATATGCTGGCTGACACTGGGCAACGTAATAACTTTTATTTAATATAATGAGAGCATCCACTGTGCACCTGTTTTGATTCAAACATGCCATTCATTCTTTAAAAAGTTGTGAAACAACTCAATCACTGAGAGCAACACTGTGAGTGTAAGGTGTGAGTCAGTAATGTGTAATGCGATTCCCAACACACTGAGTCATTATTTCCACAATAGATTACATCAGCCATCTGCTTTAGTAAAATGGGGAGCACCAGAAGAGATTAACAATGACAAATTCGACAAGCGTTAAATATTTCATAGCTCTTAAGTGTATTTTTTATGTTTTGTTGTTTGAGTGTTTCGTTTAAAGGAGGTTCTGGAGTTGTTTCCTGTCTTTCACTGCGTTAGCGGAACAAAGCAGCCGGGGGAGGTTAACAGGTTTGGTGGTTGTGGAGTTTGAGGGTGGATCTGCCTTTCTATGGCCCCTCCCCCCTCAGCCTTAACTAACTGCTCACCTCTAAATCCCCACCTATTAAGCAAACCCATCAGACAAAGAGAGGACAGAGAGACAAACAACCAACGGGCCTTTCACCACTCCAAAAAAAGGGTCAACTCTCCACATAGGGGAATTTTAAGGAACTGCCACTGAAGACAGAAATCATCCATCAGCAATGGTGTCTGCTGGGTTCCAGATCCTTGGCACTGCTTTGGGCATCCTGGGATGGATCGGTGCCATCATTGTCTGCGCCCTTCCCATGTGGAAAGTCACTGCTTTTATCGGGAGCAACATTGTGACTTCACAGACTTCTTGGGAGGGCATCTGGATGAGCTGTGTGGTGCAGAGCACGGGCCAGATGCAGTGTAAGGTCTACGACTCCATGCTGGCCCTCTCCTCTGACCTTCAGGCTGCGCGGGCCCTGACCGTCATCTCGATTGTCGTGGGTATCATGGCCATCCTGCTCGCTGTAGCCGGGGGGAAGTGCACCAACTGTGTTCAGGACCCATCATCAAAAGTAAAGGTGGGCCTTGCGTCTGGGGTTGTGTTCATCATAGCTGCCGTCCTGTGCCTCGTCCCCGTCTGCTGGACAGCCCACTCCATCATAAGGGACTTCTACAGCCAATTCACGGTCCAAGCGCAGAAGAGAGAGCTAGGTGCTGCGCTTTACATCGGGTGGGGTGCATCTGCTTTGATGTTGATTGGAGGGGCAATGCTCTGCTCCAACTGTCCCCCTAAAGAGGAAGATTCCTACACGGCGAAGTACAAAGCTCCCAGATCTAACATCTCAGCTGCTAGATCTGACGCCTCCGCACCAATATCTGGCAAAGACTACGTCTGAAACAGCTTTTAAAAATCCACGGGGACAGATTAACAGGTGCTACTGGGTTGTGAAAGCTGATATTTCAGAGTGTAACTCGATGAAAAGTCAATCCTCAGTGTATTTAAAGTAAGAAACGAACAACACCCCAAGGAGAAGTTCTGCTGTGAATATTAATTGTGTGTATGTTCTGTTTGAATATTATTAACTCTTTTCATGACAAGACTACTATACTTTAGCTTCTTGTCATTATCTTTTACAATGTGCATGCAGAATTTTTTTCATGAACTGTGTGTATAAAATGCATTGTGTTGCAGGTGTATTGTGAATAAATATGTTTATTGTTTACTGATTTGAGTTTATTATCTTTTTTTTTTAACCCAAAGCTGTTCTCAGCATGACTACTTTGCTGGCCTTAAAATGCACTACCCGGTAATAAAAATCTTGTTTAATTTCTTCAAGGACCTTGCTGTGTTTGTTTTTAGAAAAATGATTAGTCACATTCTACTCTTCATTTTACAGCTTCAGTGATTTCTGAGTCATAACAGTTGATAAACAAAAAAACAAGCATTTTTCAATTCATCTTCACAGTACCTGAGATGTGTGTATTGTCTGAATTTCCTGTTGATCAGGTTTAGGAGGGGCAGGTTAGGAACCAGTGTGGCTTCTTTTGTCCTTTGACAAACTGTGAGCACGTTTTTCAGATATCCTTTTTGACTGTGCTGCTCTTTACTTTTATTCATTTTAAAGTCAGATATTAAGCTTTTTCATAAAATGACAATTTTTGCCTTTTGAGAGACTTTATTTACCTTTTTTCAGAGTAGAGAGTTGTCTTTCTATCAATACATTAGCCCAAAGTGATTATTCCTCATAACCCCTCATTTGGAAAAATCTGTTTGCTAATCTTTTTTTAACCATCTATAGTGAAAACACCTGGTGTTTAGGTTTGCTTAAGGCTTGACCTGCCATGTATTGGGGACTACATAGTGTGTATGTTGGAGCACAGCTGGGATCTGGAGCCATTGTTTCCCGTTTTGAAACCTAGCTTGAGGTAACAAAGCTTGTATGTGTGGGAACAATGAACAAGAGGTTATGGATAGCAGGGCTCAACTTTCCCTCTTTGTCTGGTGGAACAGAAACTCCACCCTAAAAATTTGAACCACAACTGGAGGTTGTTCCCATCGCCATCAAATAAGAGCAAACACTTCCATGAGCAGGTGCAATCACAGGCTACAAAACCCCATAGCCAGCACTAACTCAGTTTGGAATTTACGCTTTCACAGTCAAAAAATCTCGGAAGACGTGAACATTTTTGTGGAGGCTAGCCTTTCTTTCTCTTAGATTCCGGTACACGAGTAAAGTCCCGACTGCAGCTGCTTGAATGGCATCTCAAGGCCTCCAGATCCTGGGCGTGCTGCTCTCCTTCGTCGGCTGGCTGGGCACCATCATCACCTGCGCCTTGCCTATGTGGAGAGTCACCGCTTTTGTCGGGGCGAACATCGTTACAGCCCAGGTGATCTGGGAGGGTCTGTGGATGACCTGCGTGGTCCAGAGCACGGGGCAAATGCAGTGCAAGGTGTACGACTCCATGCTAGCTCTGCCCCGAGACCTGCAGGCCGCCCGGGCCATGGTGATCATCTCTGTGATCGTGGGGGTATTCGGCACGCTCATGGCTGTCGTCGGAGGCAAGTGCACTAACTGCATGGAGGACGAGGCGTCCAAAGCCAAAGCCTGCATTGTGGCCGGAGTTATTTTCATCATAACTGCCCTGCTCATCCTGATTCCGGTGTCGTGGTCAGCTCACGCGGTCATCAGGGACTTTTACAATCCCCTGGTGATTGCCGCTCAGCGGCGGGAGCTCGGGGCTGCTCTCTACATCGGTTGGGGCTCTGCTGGACTGCTGCTGCTGGGAGGAGGCCTGCTGTGCAACAACTGCCCACCCAAAGACAGCAGACCATACATACCGGCCAAGTTTGCCCCCGCAAGAACCACATCTTCAAATGTGGACTATGTGTGAGTCTCTCAGTTGCAGGGATTTTGTATGTTTTTTTCATATAAAAAGTATAGCTATCAAAGGTGAATTTACTTTAAAAATCTTTAAGGGTGTATAAGAACTATTCTTATCAGGTTCAAGGTTTTAGTTGCTATGATTGATATAATTTCACTACAATTAGTTAAATCTTAGCAGCCCATGTAGTGTATGTCTTGATCCTTAAATGATCTTTAAATTCAATAAATATTTGTGAAAAAATCTATTTGTTCCCCAAGAAAATGTGAGTTATGTAATGGTCCTTTCAAGTCCTTTCAGAACCCTTATATGTTTGAAAGACAACTGACCCTTACAGTTGTCTTTCTAACATTATTCCTCTGTTGATGCTGTGGCTGGACTGTATTGTAACTGAGTCTATTCTTTCAGTAGCACATTCAGGAATTCATTGGCATACACTCCGGGGAATTTACTGTATCTGGTTGTTTGCTATGTTGTAATCGACCATTGGCGTTTTGGGACAGTGATTTAGAGTTTCTGTCTTGAATACAATGGGTGACCCCAGCACAGAAAACTGTGTGCTGTGTATGCTTGGATTCATGTTGCTAAGGAACATTTGTATAAGTGCAAAGAATGGATATTCACACTTTGCCTAATCAGAGCACATCTACCAACTTTTGTCAGGATGATATATATTAAACCTCTTCCATTCACTTCTAAGAATCCATTTAAGGAAAGCTTTCTAGAACATTAGGCGTTTCTGGAAAACTTAAATGTCTCCACTAAGACCCTTAATTTCGTTGCACTAGGTACTCAGAGACATTGAACAAATGTTTAAACTTGCTAATCTGCTCGCTTTAGCCCTTTTTTTTGTGTTTAAAAGATGTATTTTTTTTAAGTCTCATTAAATGATGCGACCCCATGTGAAAGCGAAACGCACAGATTGCATTGGTTCTAATTGGGTTAAATGGTTTTTATTTAAACATCAAGCATGGTTTCTGTTTTCTGTTTGACTTGAGCTTGAATGGTCAAAATTGCACGCCACTTTTTTCATTAGTCCTGAATGTTAGAATTTTGCATTTTTCAGGGCATTATTGGAATTTCTAACATCCATTTTTGACTTTGGATTTTTCTGATATAAAATCCAAGATGTATGTACAGTCCATGCCCTTTCCATACGTACAGCTTAATGACATCTTTTAAGTGTAAATGTAGCACACTGTGATTCTGTTTTATAAAGAAAAGACAATTAATTTTGAAATTTTGACTTGTTTTTGTTATACTGCTTTCAAGTAAATGATCCACATCACTGGAGTATGTTTTTATTTCAGCTGTCTGCAGCCTTCCAACATGCTTTCAAAGCATGGCTCTACAAAAATGAATTGCCAAACAAAGGTGACGAAAAGGATCTGTCAAAACTTTATTTTCAGAATGAAAGTCAGAGAAAACAGCAATAAACAAGTGCTTGAATTGTAATAAAGATAAAAAGCATTGTTTGAGTCAGAAGTTATATTAAAAATATCTCACAAAAATACAAAAGTGTGACGTGTTAATAAAACGTGCAAGACCACAGTGGTGTTAGTCAGAAGAAGTTAGTTACAAAGCAAATCTCAGCCCGAAATGTGCGGGCTTTGTTCCAAACGTAGAGTAAGGTCCTCTGGACATCTTCTCATGTAACGTGCCTGATCAGACAAATTCCTTCCCGGGTGTTGTAGATTTAGGTGGGGAGTACCTTGGCCCAGTGTAGCGGTCTCCTCCTGATGGACACTGGCAGCATAGGAGAGCACCTCCAATCAGCAGAAGTCCTGATGCTCCCCAGCCCATGTACAGACATGCACCCAGCTCTCTCCTCTGAGCATCTGGAACAATGGGATTGTAGAAGTCCTTTATGATGGTATTAGCGGGCAGAGACACGGTCACAAGACACAGAGCCCCGCTTAGGATGAAGAAAACACCAGCGGAGATGGCCACCCTGGCTTTTGCAGATTTGTCCCCGATGCAGGTGGTGCATTTGCCTCCGACCACAGAGAGCAGCAGGCCAAACAGAGAGAAGAGGATGGCGATGACGATCATTGCTCGGGCTGCTTGGAGGTCCGGAGGTAGAGCCAGCAGGGAGTCGTACACCTTGCACTGCATCTGGCCCGTGCTCTGCACAACACAGGTCATCCACAGACCCTCCCAGATGGTCTGAGCCACGACAATGTTGTTCCCAATGAAAGCAGACACCTTCCACAGGGGCAGCATGCAGATGAGAATGTTTCCTAGCCATCCAAGCACCGCCAACACAACCCCCAGAATCTGTAGCCCTAAAGATGCCATTAAGCCGCTTTTGCCTTTTCGCTGTGTCCGTTTCTTCTTAGGCTGCCAACTGAAAACTCTCTGGCTGTCTTGGTGTTTTATATCTGGGGAGGTTCTGACTCTGGGGCGCCCATGTAAACATCCATCATGCTGCCTTTGAGCTCAGAGGTCGTCCTCTCCCATAAAGAGGCCCTCTGGTTCCCCAGCAGAACTGCTAGGGGGAAAAACAACAACTTTCAACTGTGTGATTCAGACAAAAGCCTGCTCAGAAGTGTTCAAAGTAGCACATGAAAGCACAGCTTTTTGAAATAGATATCCTCCCACCATCAACAGATGTAGCTGGAAAAATCTGCCAAGAAAAAAACAGAAATGTAAGTTTAAGAAAAATGGTAGAATACAACTACATATATGATTTCAGGAGATGAACAACAACAAAGAAATAACTCAGAAGGATCGGATGACTTGGGGATAGAAATCCTTTCAAGTTTTTCTATATTATGCACCAAGTGCCATAATTACAGGATAACATGAAAGTTGATGAAATGAGGCATTAACTAATTACCAGTATGCTGAATGCACAATTTTTTTGTTCTCTAAATTAATTCTAAATTTCTCAAGAATATGTCTTACTTAATTCCACAGATATCAAAGTGATAGATATTTCCCTCTGTCAGTCTTTTCATATTTCTAAAATTAGAGTTATCAAAATTCCAGTATACTGATAAACAACATGTTTGTTTTAAAGATACAAAATCTTATTGCAAATAATTACCCTTCACAAACACAAGTAAAAGTGCTCCATAATCCATGTTCAAAGGCAGTTTATATGAACTCCATTCCCCTTCCAAAGTTTGTACTTATACCTTCCTTCTGGCGGTTTTAACAGAGGGATTCATTCATATCTTATTTAGATAGTGTTCTGGGGATGAAAATGATTCTTAAAAACATGGATAAGAACTTTTTTTCGTCGTCCTGTGGACGGCAGTTTATGAGATATTAAATTCCTTTCATCAAAAAACACAAAACAAAACACCAACAACTTTCACTCAGCTTTGAAAATAATTTGTATCAGTAAAGCAAAGGAGGCCATACAAACATTTTTTATCAACAGATCTCTTCATCATTGAGTTTGAACACAGTTAGAACGGTTTTGTTATCAAATGGACAGAAATTATTTTTTCCCCATCTGTTTACCTCCAGTTGAGTCTCCTTTCTTCCAACAGAGAAATCTGACACGTGCACTCAAACAGACCAGCAGGTGCTTGCTGAATGATTAGCACAGGTGGGATCAATCAACTTAATTGCTGCACTGGTAATTGACCACCAGCGTTTTTAGTCAAACCAACCAATGAGGACAGAATCCCAGGTGAATGCACAGATATAAAAGCTGCAGGTTGAACTAGCATCCAATATCACTGCTACTCCAGCTGAATTTTTACTTTTATCTGGTGGATTTGGGCCAAGACAAGCAAGCATGGTGGCTGCAGGACTTCAGATTTGCGGCATCTTCTTGGCCAGTGTTGGTTTTGTGGGCGCCATCATCGTCTGTGCCCTGCCGATGTGGAAGGTGTCTGCTTTCATCGGGAACAACATTGTGACGGCGCAGATCTTCTGGGAGGGCCTGTGGATGAACTGCGTCAAGCAGAGCACTGGACAGATGCAGTGCAAAGTCTACGACTCCATGCTGGCCCTGCCGGAGGACCTCCAAGCAGCCCGGGCCCTGACCGTGATCTCCATCCTGGTTGCGTTCTTGGGGATCCTGCTCGCCATTGCGGGAGGAAAGTGCACCAACTGCATCGAAGACGAGGCGTCCAAGAGCAAGGTGGCCATTGCTGCAGGTGTGTTCTTTATTGTTGGCGGAGTCCTGTGCCTCATCCCCGTGTCCTGGTCGGCTCATGAGGTCATCAGGACCTTCAATAGCCCCTTGATGATGGATGCCCAGAAAAGGGAGCTGGGTGCAGCGCTGTTCATTGGCTGGGGCTCGGCAGGCCTCCTGATCATCGGGGGCGCGATCTTGTGCTGTCAGTGTCGGCAGAATAAGGATAGCCGATATTCCGTCAAATACTCTGCTCCTCGCTCGACTGCCAGCACGGGAGCTTATGTTTGAGACTCCATGCTCCTTCACCAGAAGGAACTGGACTAATGCTGTGATAAGTTTTAACACTGTTTTAATCATTCTTAATAAATCTTAACTTTGAGCCCTGACTTCTTTTGACTCTGCAATTTTGTTTCTATCTTTAACACCGACTGCTTTTAGCTGTTCTGGAGGAGGCTTGCAGTACTACATGGCTTCATTGTAGCTGCTTGCGCACAAGCTAAAAGTTTAAAGATGATGGAAACCTTTAGTTTCTGCACAAAGTAACTTTGAATTGGCACATGGCATCTTTTGAGCCATAAGCCCTGTGGTATGCTAGGTAATGCCATCTTGCATGAGGGAGATGGCTTGGAGGGCCCTGGCATGAGATTATTGTCAAAGTTAATATGAGCACTGATTAGTTTTCTTAAACGATTGCAGTTTAAAACTTATGCTAGAAAGGATGTAAAATTATCCTAATTTGAGTAAACTTGGCCATCGTGCACTTGAGGCTGTGATCGGGGTACTGTTGAGGTTTCAATAAACTTAACATTTAAGCTTGGTTTTATATATTCAATGTAGACCAAAAGCTACAAAATTCAAACATGGACTGAATTTAAATGATAAATTAAAACTGCTGGACCAGACTTGTATCTGGTTAGGTTTTATTTGTCTCAGCAGGCATCAAGTCTGATCTGACCAAGGATCTGAACCATGTTGTATTTAACCATATCCTTCCTGAAGTAACTTCTGATACATTAAATTCCAAGGTCTGTGCTGTTTGTACACTGGTACAACAATTATCTTAAGCACATTTTTCAAGCCATTTGATCAATATGGCATTAAATGTATTCATTGTTAAACAAAATTCATTTCCATTTTTTTTCTCTGTGGCTTAGTCTCTTGAAAATGAAAAATGTATTTTAACAGTCCTTTTGCCATGCAACTATATGGGATTTCTCTGTTTTAGTCTTAAAAGGCAACTACATTTTTACCAACTTTGAACAAGTGAACATTTCAGCATTTGGTCTAATCAACTATCAGAACACTGGCTGAGTCACTCTGATGTTATATCCGGGTGGATGATATGCAGTGTGAGTGTTAAATAGTTTTTTTCTTTTTTGATAGCACAGAATTTGAACCTGATCAGCTGTGTAATTTAAGATTTGTGAACAAAGCTTTTTGTCCGTAATCACAAAGCAGTTTTTCTCGCATAATCTCCTTTGTTAACTTTTTCTCCGACTAATTTAGGCAGAGCAGGAATCAGGACAAACAGGAAACCTGATCCACAAACTTGCCAGTCCCCTCCCAGCTGCACTTCTCATACCTGCTGTGCAAAACCACAAAAGAACACACAACCAGCAGCATTCTCAGCAGCTTAAGAAAGTTTTTCGTGAAATGATCTTAAGATCAACAGAGAGCTGATTTTCTTCTCTTTTTTATTTTTCCCCCCGTCATGTGGCAAACTTAAACTCGGACCTTGGAGTATCACTTGACAACATGCAGACTCAACTTGTTGGTGTTTGTTTGGCAATCATTGGCTTCCTTGGGACTATACTCATCTGTGCGCTACCTATGTGGAAGGTCACACCCTTTGTTGGAGCGAACATCGTCACCGCTCAGGTCTTTTGGGAAGGTTTGTGGATGAACTGCGTGATCCAAAGCACGGGACAGTTGCAGTGCAAAGCCTACGACTCCCTTCTGGCCCTGTCACAGGACCTGCAGGGGTCTCGGGCCCTGGTCTGTGTCTCCATCGTGGTCAGCGTGGTGGCCATCGGACTCACCGTGGTCGGGGTCCGCTGCACCAATTTCTTTGATTACGACAGGCTGACTAAAACCAATGTCGGTGTGTCTGGAGGAGTGGTTTTTATACTCGCGGGGCTCCTGTGCATCATTCCTGTCAGCTGGTCAGCCCACACCATCATCACGGGATTTAACAACCCGCAGGCCACAGAGGAGAGGAGGGGGGAGCTGGGAGCCTCCATATATGTGGGCTGGGCGTCTGGGGCTCTGCTCATCATCGGAGGGGGGATACTGTGCAGCTCCTACAGGTGCTGAGGACACAGGGATCAAAAGCGGGCTCCGTCCATCGAAAAAGAAGCTGAAGCTACAACTGCTTTGATAAAAATACGTTTTTTCAATGTCATTCATTTTCTTTGTCACATGCTTTGATTGAAGCTCCTTTTTTAACATTGATTCAACTTTTAATTGCACTATACTGACACCGCATAGAGCTTGTGTAAAATGTTAAATAATCTGATGTATATGGAACACTACAAAATGAAGGCATGTAGTAATCTCATGCTACAATGTGAAGGAAAAATGGAGCCTTGTTTAGATCCCCATAAAACTAGTCCTAATGGGGAATTGGGAGCTCCCTTGTAGAATTTAACTGCTGTATGCACAAACTTATACCATCATTCAACTATTTTCTGTTTGCAATGTTATGAAATATCTTTCAATAATATAAAAGCTTTACTTGTAGAAATGTGAACAAATCAGTCAGCTGAATAAAAGGCTGATAGTTAATCGGAAGAAAGGGGAGCTGTAGTGTAAAATACTAACTTGTGAGAGCCAGCATGGGAAATTTACACATTTTTGTATTTGAGAGAAAAAAAACATTTTTTCCCTGCTTCTGTATAATTTAAAACAAGCTCTTGATCTTTTCTGTTTTTAAAAATAATTAATTCACTTCAATTTGATAGGGGATGTTTTTTTTTTTTTACATATAGGTTTTTATACAGAACCAACAACTTTTGAGCAGCTTACTTTTCACTGTATCTGAAGAGACGTGAATTTTTCTTACTGATTAAAAGAATACTCTTTGACAAACAGCTTCAACTTTCATTTCAGTCCATCGTACAGCTGCTCTCTCCCTCATTTCTAATGTCTTGTAAATGTTTGAGCTTTGTTCAAAAATACTTTAAAACCCACATAATTCTCTAGAAAAAAGCTCATAGTTTGTTTAATCAGCCACAATGGGAGCTGATTGTAATTCACCAAATTGTTGTGGGAAACCTCTGAAAAGATTCTAAACATGACCACTGGCAGGAATCCTTTGTTAGGTCACTAATGACATCTGTTTACATGCTGTTTAATGCTCACTATGAAATTGCTCTTACTACAGGGATAGGCTCCTGTCCCCCGCAACCCCACTTGGGAATAAACGGTTCAGAAGATGGATGGATGGATGCATTGAGCTCCTTTTTGGAGGGGTACAACTAGAGACTAGTTTAAAATGTATTAGAATAGAAATAGAAATAGAAAAAAACTTTATTTATCCCCATTTAGAATATTCAAGAAAGATAAACTACATAAATTTTATATTCAGTGTCACATTATATATATATATATTATATAGATTCTGATCATGTAAATCCATGTAAACAAGATGGAAATAATAGGGAAGATAAAGAGAACTTAATTTCAGTCTTGACATCTGCAGCTTTCAAGTGTTGGCAGAGAATTAGCAAAGCATACCTTTGCCTGGGAAACTGGTTTAAAACAATTGCAAAACCTTTGTTGTTGTTCACTTTTTTAGCATTTGACACCACGGCACCACTCCCTTTGTAGTGTAATAAGATACCCTTCTTTCCAAAATTCTTTTGTGTTTTCTTCTTCAGTGTTTAGCACTCAAACTTCCCAACTGTTACTTGGCTGACGCTGTACTTTTCTGGCAGAGAAAAATTGCTTTTACACATATAATTTTGTTTGAAAAATAGCAATGATATGGGTGTTGACATTTCTTTGTGAACCATAAACTTTATAGTGCTTTGGTGAGTTCAGAAATGACAGTGGTTATATTTCATTGGAGATGGCTTTGATTTAGTGGTCAAGCTGTGGTCCAGAGGTTACGTCCACTTTTAGATACAGCATGGGGTTGTGTTTTTATGCTCATTGTGATCAATACTGTTATGCTGGCTAAATTATTTTACTGAATGACTAAATCATTTTGCATGTTTATTAATTGATTTCTGCTACCCATGCATGACAGAGGCAATATATGAATATCTGCACCCTTAGCAGTAGTGGTGGTTTAGGCACAAACACAACAAACACGTTTACACACACCCTCTTTTGTGTGACAAGGTTTGAATGACAGATACTGGCTGAGTGAGCTCTGCTAACCTAACAAAAGAGTTCAGTGAAATTTGACCTAAAGAAAAAGCTGTAAGGATATTAAATTCATGCATAGGAATTTTACTCGGAACCGAAATATATACAAATAAATACAATTAGATGGACTGTGTTTGTTGGCTTTAAAAAATTAGATTAAGATTAGAATTTGATTAAAATTGTATTAATATGCAAGCAGTGTTACATACTTAGACTTTGCCTTCTGTAACCTATACAACAGGCTGTTTAAACTAATTAAAGACAGGATCCCATATATAAGACAATAACTGATTCCAAAGTTTCTGTGTTTTGTTTTTGCAAATACGATACCGAGAGGGCAGAGGCAGGAATGGGAAAATCCCCAAAGGAGCTTGTCTATATCAGTGTGTTTTCGGCTTTGGAGCTACCAGTATTCATTGGTTATAGTTTCCCCCCTGAGGTCATGTGATTTGATGGTGAGTTAAATTTCTTGTGTTAGATTATTTCTAATTATTTCTATTTTATACACTTTCTTAACTCAGGCATAACTGAGTCTGAATGAGTCATTAAAGAATGGCATTAAATAATGACTCATCCAATTAAACACACAGCTAACTGAAACTCAAATTACAACATTACAGTGGCATTTGTTACCATACTGGTCACTTGGTATGTCCCTGTTTGCATAACTTGTTTCCTTTAGGCTACTGCAGCACTTCTTTTAAATATTTTTATAATATATATCAGTTTGATTGTTTTTAATTCCATGGAACAATAAATTCTGCAGATGTCCCACAGTTTGTATGTTATTTTTTCCTGTGATTTCATCCTTTTAGTCCACTGTCCTTCTGCTTCACTGAAACTCTGCTGCCAATTTCCCCCCAACGTTGTAAAGCAATCCAGTTTGGTGACATTTCTTCACAAACGAGTTTCAGCTTAGTGTCAGCGCGGATAAACTCCTCCTCTGACCGCATCCTTCAAAACAAGCCAACAAAGACGGAAACCAGAGTCAGTAAATCCTCCCGGGTGACAATAAAACCAGTACTGCTCTGTTACCTCAGGAAACAACTCCAGCTCTCAGGAAAACACACAGTCCAGTATCGCTGAGGGTAGAGACAGGGCTTCATCATGGTAGCTGGCGGAAGACAGATCCTGGGTTTGGCTCTGGCCACCATTGGATTTCTTGGAAGCATTGTCATCTGCGGCCTCCCAAACTGGAAAGTCACAGCCTTCATCGGAGCTAACATCGTCACCTCTCAAGTGATCTGGGAGGGCTTGTGGATGAACTGCGTGACCCAGAGCACAGGCCAGATGCAGTGCAAGGTCTATGATTCCCTGCTGGCCTTGCCCCAGGACCTGCAGGCCGCCAGAGCCCTGGTCATCGTCGCCATCATCGCTGCGGTCTTCGGGATTCTGCTGGGCGTGGTGGGAGGCAAGTGCACCAACTTTGTGGATGACGAACGGCAAAAGAGCAAAATAGCCATCGCTTCTGGAGTTGTCTTCATAATTGCTGGTGTGTTGGTGCTCGTCCCCGTCTGCTGGACTGCCAACACCATCATCCGGGATTTTTACAACCCAACCCTCACCAACGCTCAGAAGAGGGAGCTGGGAGCCTCTCTCTACATCGGATGGGCCTCTGCAGGGCTGCTGTTACTGGGTGGGGCCCTTCTCTGCAGCTCCTGCCCCCCCAGCGATGAGAATGACTATGATGTGAGGTACTCCAAGGCTCGCTCCGTGGAAAGCAGCAAGGCCTACGTTTAGACCGTCACCTTGGTTGGCAAACGAAGAGATAAAGACTTTTTTCTTTATAACTGTTTCCCCATTTGAAGATGGCTCAATTCTCAGTGGCTAGAATTGAATAATGAAAAGCAGAAGAAGGAGTTGAAATTTATGGATATGCTGTATATTCTCTGAAAGTTCATGATGTAAGATTATTGTATGTTGTGAAATTTGAAATATTCTTTTTCTGTTTGTGGATGTGAAATCTTTTCACATCAAACCATCATAGATACCTCTTTTGTTTTTTTCAGTTTCCTGTTAGACCCACTGACTTACAACCATCCTCTCAGTGACTTTAGTCAAATTTAACATGTATTAAAAACATTTACATTTAAAATTCACCTTTCGAATGCTGCTCTGACTTCAATCAGAATCAAAATATTTCTTTACTAAACTGGTTAAACACTGATGAATATATTAGCTGTTCTCTTTTGATTTGTTTTGCGTATATTTTTATTTTCATATGTACGTATTTTTTCAGTTACTGTATGCCATTGAAATTGTGATAATCTGTAATAGTGGCTGTTGTGTTTTTAACAGTGATGGCAAAGAACAAAAAAATCTGGTTTTGTGAGTGATGATGAAAGAATCCTTACAAACTGGTTTTGTTACAGTGTGTGTTTGTCTGCTAAAGAAATACAGCAAAAATAAACAGAGACTGAATTGTAACACTGTGTTTCCTTCTAAACTTTTAATAGCATAGGTAATACAATCAGGTCTTTCATCAAATAGTGGATGTAAAGTAAAATGTCTTCTAGTTAAGGATCCAATAGATAAACAAATTCAATCTGTTTGGGGCATGTAGGCTCAGTTATGAACTGATTAGAATCCCTTAAGTAGGTCACTGGCCACATGTTAAAAACATAAATACATAAACATTGTGTATATATTTTCTACAATAAATCAACTAAAACCTGAGCCTGATTTCAACTTCCACCTTTATGATCAATAGACATAGATTTTAAATTTGTACATAAGAAAAATTAATCCAGTCATATATGATCTTTAGTATCATAATGTGTCAGACCTGGAACAACACCAAAAACTCACACCAATAAATGAGGGGTTACGTATCAAAAGTATAAAAAAGATTTATAGAAGATGTACATATTTCAATCATCGACAAAACAGAAAGTAAATTTTGCATTAAAGTAATGATGAAATCTGTTTAAATCATTCATTTACGCTGATGATTGGATAACCACATCAAAATGATTTTTTTTCTATATTCACTGATAATAATAGTGACATTGTTTGGCACCCCACACTGTTTAATGGATGGACGTCCACTTAATGTCCTAATATGGAGGAGTTGTGCAACCAGGTGTTTCTACCTTGTGAGAGTACTTTTAAAAAATGTACGTCACCATCTCAGACTGCGATGATAGGTGCTTTTGAACAGGAGCGAAACCTCCCTCGACATTCTTTTCTAGCAACATCAGTTCGTGCACGGGAATACTGCTGGTTTCATTCAGACACTGAGAGTGACATTTTCCCAAAGGGGAGGGTAGAATGTGACCAAAAACAGTTTATAAAGCAATTGCTATTCAAGTGAAGAAAACAATAGGTGAAAAAAACTGGATGGGGAGAAAAAGAAAAACAGAAATGGACACCAATAACCACCTATCTAAGTTTTGTAAGAACAAAAACGATTCACGTTTTAGGCCAACTGAAAAGGTTTGCTTTAGAGTGTGTTTCTGTCCAACTGTGTGTGCATGTATGTTAGGCCGGGTATTTGCATGTTTCAAACCAGTTTTTCTGGTAGGCAGATGCTGTTCAGGTGAGACTGGTCTAACCCCAGGATACTGAGTTTCATATCTCTTTCCTTTTCTTTCACAAAACTAATTAATCATTTGTAAAGAGAGCAGATGTATACATGCAATCTGACTTTAATCACATTGAAACACATTCGAATTTTCAAGAATTTTTGTACGTCAAGAAGGGAAAAAAAGTTGTTGGCATTCAAAAGACAAGCCTAACACCAACAGATATATTCTTTATTGAATTCCTCTTTATTCTGTCATTCTTTATTCTTATTTTTTCAGTAAAAACCCATCAGAAATGAGAAACAGGCTACAAGTAAGGGAGTATATGATGTCACTGTCACATCTTGCTTTGCAGCTCATTCCCTGTCATTCTCCTCCCCTTTTTTCCCCAAACGAGTGGGTGTGGTACACCTACACCTGACCAGTAGCACACAGGCAGCTCCCTGGTGACAAAAAGAAAGAACACACTCAGGTAACGAAGTAAAGGGAGAAGAGACAGAAGCAGAGCGAGAGGAGTTAGGTTAACGAAAGAGGAGGTAAACAAATGAGCGACAGCCTAAGCTAAACGCACCTGGAGTTTGGTAAAAGCTAAAAGAGGCAGGACGAACAACCGAAGCAGTCAGAAAGAGCTCTTCATTCTTGAGAGCGACACACTCAGCATTTCAAATGTTGCTATCAAAACAGAACGTTCTGAAACTAATAAAAGAGAAACGCCTCTAAGAGAAGATCTACCGGAAGGTAAAGCCTGAACATTCTCCACAGAAATCCAGAAAAGCAGCAGAGGGGGACTTCTGAAAGGTCTGAAAGGATTTCTCAAGCAAAGTCCATCTTGCCCTTTTCTGCATCTTCATCATGGCATCCATGGGGATGCAGCTGCTGGCCAGTGCCCTGTGCCTCGTGGGTTGGGCAGGAGTCATCATCATCTGCATTCTGCCCATGTGGAGGGTGACGGCCTTCGTGGGCAGCACAATCGTGACCTCGCAGACCATCTGGGAGGGCATCTGGATGACATGTGTGGCTCAGAGCACGGGGCAGATCCAGTGCAAGCCTTACGACTCTCTCCTCGCGCTGAGCTCCGACCTGCAGGCCGCCAGGGCCCTCACCGTGCTTGCCATCGCCACGGGAAGCGTGGGTCTCATTTTGGCGTTCGTTGGAGGCAAATGCACTCGTTTCTTGGACGAAGAGGGCGGCGGGACGAAGGGCAAAGTGGCGGTGGCAGCAGGAGCTGTGCTGATAGCCACGGGGCTGCTCTGTTTGATCCCCACTTCTTGGACGGCTGGAGCGGTAGTGAGGAAGTTCTACAGCGCCTCCATAGACGTTCAGCGGAGGGAGCTTGGAGCCTGCCTTTACCTTGGTTGGGGGGCGGCCATCTTGCTCGTTCTGGGGGGCGGTCTGTTCATCAGCTCCGCGTGCCCAATCAAGGCCCACAACACTGACGCCAGTCCCTCCGTTCGCTACCTGGCGGTCCGCTCCTCCAATGGAAGCAGCCAAGCAGGCTCCCACCGCAGCAGGGTACCCTCTGCAATGTCCCAGCCCGGCAGAGTCGTGTCCCCCAGACCTCAGAGCTCAGAAAAAGCGTTCACAAAGTCTCAGCTGAGTACAAGGCCGCCTTGGGAAGTTGGGCCTGAGCAGGAGCAGGACTTGAAAGTGGAGTCAGAAAGATCATGGGCACCGTCAACAAAGTCCCAAATGAATAGACCAGTGTCAACTAGATCCGACTACAGTGAGTCGCCATCAACAAAGTCACAACTAAAAGAAGCGACAATGGAAGAGACTTTTTCAGACAGGAGTGAGAATGAAGATCCATCTTTAAACCCAACGAAAACATACCTGTAATATAGGTGGAAATCCATTGAACGTCTTTACGCAGACAACACTTTTTAATATTCCAACTGTTACGTAGAATCAGTGATTTACTGATTGTAGTGATTGTTTACTGAGGAAATGTAGCTCCTAGGAACAGGGTCTTTGTTTATATCTAGAAATGCCAGCACTCCAGGATTTATTTTTTGAAGGACAAGTGGGAAAAAGGACCATATTCATCAACATGAAGAAGAAACTCATTTTTAAACTGAGCTTAAGCAAGTGAAGTATGCTGAGCTGTCTTTACTTTATAATACTTTTTTTTTTGGTGAAGTTATGTGTTATTAGATGCATGATCTGTAATGACCTAATGTGTACTGTAACATTGTTTTCAGCTTTTCTCTGTATGTAAATGCACTGAATGATGATTAATCTAATATGTTACCTTAGAGATACATTTTTGATTTTACTGGACAAACAGAACCTTTGATGCTTGACGATTAATGAAGGACCATTAAGTAGATATTTAGTAGCATGAAGGCCATTTCTTTGAATCAAGAGCATTGTCATTCTATTAATATGAGCATCTATGAGGCCTTGAAAACTATTGACATTTTTTAAGTCATTTGTTATATCAGGTACTTTTTTTTGTAAAGCTGTGACATTTCATTGTACACTTATTTCATATAAAGTGATGGGTGGCATCAGACCTGTTTTTTAAATAAATGATTGCAACCTGACAAAGTAATGGCCTATTTCTATTCCTTAACATTTCTTTAACTTGCAACTAATGGGACATGTGAGTGACAAAGAGTTTTCCAAAGTCCCCCTGGACTTTCAGTCGGCTATTACGAGCCACATGGAAAACTGGTTTGACAGAGAGTGTGACTGCAGCAGAGGTGTGCATTGTTGGAGGAGGAAGCAAAGTGTTTCCAGAGGACTCAGCATCCAGTTTCAGTTAATAATGTTATTGGAACATTTTTGTTTTCTGTTTTTTTACTGGTAGGGATGAGGAGGACAATGATGTCCTGTACACCAGCTATCTTGCAAGTAGCAACAGACTGAAAAATTTTAATTATGGATATTTCAAACTTTAACTTCACATTGTCTTTGCATTCAGCTTCACATATATGTACGGAATCTGACTGTAAAATAAACACAAAAGAGTATTTTGGATTATAATGGATTAGACATGTTCTTTATTACTACAGTGGAGTTTTCTACATTTCTCAGGGTTTGGTGTCAGATCATGTCACACTGTTACAAATGAGATTATAGTTTCTTATAAAGATACACAGCACCGGGTATGTAGCCATCCTCTTGATCTGACACAGCTCTCTCCCATTTGTCCACTTCAGTGACCTCTACACAAGTCCAAAGCCCCTCCTTCTCCATTTGTCTCAGTTCCAACTCAAGGGTGGCTTTGTATTCCAGATTGTCTTGGTTACTTCTTGTTGTCATGCAGATGTAGCCACCTAGCGGAGAGCAATAAACAGTGCAGAGTGACGGCGGAGCCGACAGAGTTGACCCGTGATAACCCCTCGTTTACAGTGCAAACAAAAGGCTCCACTCAGACCTGGCTTGGTGGCCTTGCACAGCTGTCTAACCGCACCGACGGGGACCTGGCCGACACTCAGGGCTCCCACAATGACAACCACGTCAAACAAACCTGCTGAAGCAGAGGGGAGGTGAAAGGATTTAGACTTAGATAACATCGGGGTAATCCCAAAGGTCGTCCATCCTCGAGTAACACCAAGATTAACACATTTTTATCATCCACAAAATTGGATTATAAGGTTAATTAGAAAGTCAGAGGGGAGCACATATCATCAAAGGATCGATAGTTAAAGAACCACAAAATCCACCACAAAAAGTGAATGAAACTAAGCTTCCATGGGATCACCACATAAGTCAGAGTGATCGATAGCCTGGGAGATGTGGGACAGACTGAATTACCCCACTCTGAGGGAAGCGGCTCCTCTCCAAGCAAGGACTGCTTCAAGTCTCGGTAAAACCCGTTCTTTCTGGCCGCATCCAGCATGGCCTCACTTCCATCTACACCAACAAATTGTCCAAATCCATGTTGCTTCATCTGTGCAAGAACAAACACATATACCACCCCAACCGACAGAGTGTGGTTATTATGTGTGTCAATGCAGTAAGTCTTTAGTCATGGTCACCGCAGGGATGTCGTACCTGTTTGGCCACAAGTCCAGTGCCACATGCCACATCCAACACCACAGCTGCTTCTCGCGCGCCACCGAAATGAGACGAGATGCAGTTTGCTGCCAGACTTGGTGCACGGTATTCCAGAACGGCAACGTCCTGCTCAGAAGACAGAGAAGTTAGCAGGTATCTGAACATATCTGTTTCCACTATAAGCACTACAAAACAGTTTCATTATACGAAGAAAAACCTTTAAAGAAGCTATTTATGTTTGACAGTGTTGTGGTAAAGGTACGGGGTAATATTTTGACCTGGTATACCAAGCTTCAACATTGTCTGGTTTTGTATTGAAACACTTAATGGCAAGCTAGACAATACTGGGAATGTTAATTGTGTGCACTCTGACTAATTTGACTTACTCACGCCTTACTGGTGCTATTATTCTGCAGAATTCCAGCATTTTTTTGCTCCCCACTTGAGGGCAGTATAAGTCTGGTTTTCTCTCCACTACTGGATGAAAATTCTTTTTAATTTAAATAGGTCCTGGAGTTTTTTTCTGCATAAAATGACTTGAAAATGTGAACATTTTAAACTGTCAAAATTCCCTTAAAATGTTTCAACTGCAGTTGCCTCACCTGATCATAGTTCTCTGCCCAGGAGTTATAGAAGCTGACCTTCTCTCTCGATGTGGTGCTTTTATGAGCTGATAAGATAACTGCCTTCACATTTTCAAATGTGTTATTGGCAGAGGACATTCTGACAAACCTATTGATGAAAAAACAAGAAGATGTGTCAAGAAAGTGTACTTTCAATGTTGAGTTGCAGTAGATTGTTTTTCTTTCAGCTGATTAATCAATGAACGATCGCTGTCCACTGGATTAAAATAAAATGTAAATAATCAAATCTATAATAAGACGAACTTCAGAATGTAACTGTTGTACCTAAAACTAGAGTTAGTGCAGAACAACTACTAATTTGGTTGAATGGATTGCTTTATTTTGGACTCTGGACCTATGTGCATTCTCCTAAAGTTGTAAAATATAGACTGACAACAATCATATGGAGATGAACATGCATAAAAAGACAGTGGTCAACACTGACCTCGCTGTTTTGTTTCACTGGCACTTCTCTCTGAAAGTCATTATCTAGCTCAGGTACATTAAAAGCCACATTCAAGAAATATACCAGAAAACTGAACCAGGAAGCCAAAGCACACGGAATATAGTACACCCATCTTATTCCCTCCGTCGAAACTGTAAGGCAAAACAGAAGGCACTGCAGAAAATATCATTTGATCAGTGACCTTCCTTTTGGCTCAAAGCCCAAATTAATTTTGGTCAATCGTCAGATGCAATACAAATTATTATTTTTCTAAGGCGAAGAGACTTCACGCGGGTGGTAAGAACCGTAAACACGATATTTCCGACAACCATGGAAGGAGACATTCAACTGGGCAAATTCTTGCACATGCGCAGTAGCTTTATTCCCGAAGTGTCGTTCGTGTTCCCACCTGTAGAGTGACTGGGAGTCAAAACAAAAGTCTTCTGGAAAGTCGCTCTGATTCTCAATTGCAGGCTAGCTAGCTAACCTCGTAGCAACTGCTAAGTTTGGCAAAGTTGTTCCACAGCAGTTGGAAACAACTTGTTTTATTAGCCAGCCATTTTTCATTCGCTACATATCAGAATGGAGATCTCTCCAAAGTTTCACTCCGTCTACAACTTGTTCTGGTCCGTTTTTGTGGAATAGCTGTGAGGAGAGCGCTATTTAGCGATAGAAGCTAGCTTAGCTAAACAGAAGCCCATCCTCCCCTGAGCCTTGTTGGACGGCAGCCCTTACCCCTGGTAATGGGCCTCATCCTCGTTTCAAATACTTCTATTAAACAACGACGTAATAAGCATGTCTGACTGTGAAAAAAGTTTGTTTTAAAGCACTTTGCTGCAAGTGGCAGCCATTGCTTCTTACTTTTAAAAGAGTTATCTATGTCTTTTTCTTTTTGTTGCTTGCTTAATCTCTTCAAACACAGTTCTGCTCTTCTCCACAGGTTTTTTTCTCCGTCAGAAACTCTTTCAGAATGTCTATTTTAGGATTAAAGAAGAAACAGCCAAAGACTTTCAAAGTCAAAGTTATCACTATGGATGCTGAAATGGAGTTCAGCTGTGAGGTACGGATTTGCCTTTTGAGACAGGGCTGATCTTTCAGCCGTCTTTGTTGTATCAATACAGTGTGTATGTTGGTCGGTGGAATCATTATGTTTATCCTGTGCATTCTGTGCAAATTTGTAGGATTTTAAGAGACTTTACAGTACTACACTCCCCATACCGTTGCACTAAACACTGGCAGAAATGCTCAAGAGGTGCACAGCCATGTCTCAGTCCCTCTGCCACATGACATTCTACCTCCTTGGAAGAGTGTGTGTCAGTCAGGTTGTCCCTCAGGAAATCGTTTAGCAGACGTCAGCCCCTGACTCGTCTGGTTTTGTGATCAATTAAGGCACAAAGTTCACCGTCTGAATGGTAACAGCAGCTTATTCATTCAATATCATGTCCTGTAAAGTGTTATTTTACCAGCAAAGTACACTTTCAAAGGCAAAGGCAGTCTGTCTGCCCACTGCAATGCAGAGGCAGGAATCCTAACATTTACTAATGGATTTGAAGAAGAAGCTCAAAAACTGTATTTTCCTAAACAAAACAAGGTAGAATAAGGCTTAACTATGAGCTGTGTGTCCCACCTAAGAGCCAGTTCACAGGACTTACCACAGGTTTTGTGGGGAATAAGACCAGCAAAGTGAAAACACAATTTAAACGTGACATGCAAAGCTTATGTTTTAATTAATCTGTCTTCTGTAAGTAGTTTGTGATAAGGGGACAGTATACAAAACTTAAAATGTACTTTCTTTTTACATTGTCTTCTGTTCCAAATGTTTTATTTCTTGCCTATTCTTTTGTTTAGCCCCTTATTTTTAAAAGTCTGCTAAAGTGGCGCTACTGTTTTTTTAAGCAGGGAGCGCAGTGACACTGGCAGTTTTCTTTAGCCCTGATCACTGACGGTAGCTGCGGTGATGAGCATCAGTTTGTTGCTGTTTGTTCCAGGTTAAATGGAAAGGCAAAGACCTGTTTGACCTGGTGTGCCGCACTGTTGGTTTGAGGGAGACCTGGTTTTTTGGACTCCGGTACACGGTAAAGGACACCTACGCCTGGCTAAAGCCAGAGAAGCGGGTGAGTGAAAAAGCCAAATGTTCTGGTTGAAGTGGGCATCATGAACGAGTTCAGCCTTTAACTGACCACTCGAGTGTTGTAAAAGTGTAGCCAGCTGCCAGTCATCACTGCATGACAAAGCCCGATGGGGTTGAGGTGTTCACTTTTGTTCCATTCGTCGTTTGTGTTTTCTCTGGTCAACTAGGTTTTGGATCAGGAGGTTCCCAAGGACTCTCCCATTACATTTCACTTCCTGGCTAAATTCTTCCCAGAAAAAGTAGAGGAGGAACTGGTCCAAGAGATAACGCAACACCTCTTCTTCTTACAGGTAGAAAAGCTTATAGGACATCTTTTAAATAAGCCACATGCAGTTTTTCACTCTTTTTAAGATTTTTTAAAAAAAAGTGTGTATGTTTTAAAACGACTACAGGTCATTTAATTTTTAATACACATGGAATTTTCAAAACAAAAACGGATTGCAATCTTTTTGTGTCGTCAACTGGTTGTTAACGTGCCATCTTTCCATCTAGGTGAAAAAACAAATCTTAGATGAGGAGATATTCTGTTCCCCTGAGGCCTCCGTTCTGCTGGCGTCATATGCTGTCCAGGCTAAGGTAGATCACTGTCCAAACTGATCCTGCATTGAACTAATTGTGTAGAGTAATTATTCAGTATCAGCATCATTGACGTCCCAGTTATTAATGTGTCCTCAAACCTAATTACCATTACAGTATGGCGACTATGATCCCAACTTTCACAAGCCAGGCTTCCTGGCCCAAGATGAGCTGTTGCCTAAAAGGGTGAGAATACATTACTCCGCTCAGTTTCTGTGAGCGCGGGTTTATTTATTTGTTCTCGCCGCGGTGAGTCCTTGTTTGTCTGCCGGTGTGTGTGTGCACTGTGACCTTGTGTGTGTATTTCAGGTCCTGATGCAGTACCAAATGACAGCTGACATGTGGGAGGAGAAGATCACGGCTTGGTATGCCGAGCACAGAGGCATCGCCAGGTAGGACCGACTGGGAAAAAAAAACACACTTAATAAAATGGAAGGTGTCACAGAGTCGTATTCCTTCTCCTCCCTCTCACATTATCTGTACAGAGACGAGGCTGAGATGGAATACTTAAAAATCGCTCAGGACCTTGAGATGTACGGCGTTAGCTACTTTTCTATTACAGTGAGTGTTAGTCGCTGTGACACAGTGCTACATTTTGCATGGCGTCATTAAAAATACAGCCTTTAACGTTTACGTCGGCTCGCATCAACAGCAAAATAAGAGGGACACGGAACTTTTACTGGGAGTGGATGCTCAGGGCCTTCACATCTACAGCCCCAACAGCAAACTGAACCCGAACAAGTCCTTCCCATGGAGCGGCATCCGAAATATCTCTTACAGTGAAAAAGAGGTAAATGCACGGAGGAGATTTTATAAGAGTTTTTCCATTGGTTGACACAAGCCATCTAAGCTAAGATATAACATTATACTGCTGAGAAACTCTTGATATTTCACTTTTCTCTCTGCCTGACTTAAGGTACTTGTTATTTGTTTTTTGGGGGGATTTTCAGTCTCAAATTGTCAATGTAATCATTTTTTATTCACTTATGCCTTTAAAAGTTCAGCCTGTGGGACAAAGTGAGAGGGCTGTGCTGTATTTAAAAATGGTTGGCTGTTCAACTTTCCGTGATGAGCCTAAAAACAGGATCCCTCATATATTAGCAAAGTAATTTATCAGCTTATGATTTTGAAAAAGGTTATAACCTTTTAGAGTTGAATTCTCTATTCACAACCAAACAGTTTTTTGTGATTAGAGGCAGGTGATTGAACGTGACTTTAAAAGTTTCAACAGCAAAGAATAGTGGGATTGAATTATCCTTTTATAGTATTCAAAGTGCGGTCTTGGCCATGTTGACATGTTTTTCCAGCTGACTCTTTTCTCTTTACAGTTCACAATCAAACCCCTGGACAAAAAGAAAGATGTTTTCAAGTTCTACTCTTCTCAGCTGCGAGTCAACAAGCTGGTTGTTTTCAGTTTTTTTAAGACTACCTCATCGATATCAACTCCACCTGATTGATATGAAAGTCATACAATGTACTTTTATGCTCTCTCTGGTGTGTCTAGATCTTGCAGTTGTGCATTGGGAACCACGACCTATTCATGAGGAGGAGGAAGGTGGACTCCATTGAGGTGCAGCAGATGAAGGCTCAGGCCAAAGAAGAGAAGGCCCGCAAGAAGGTTTGTGCCGCGGCAACGGGGAGAACTACATGCGACCGGGAGAACCCAGTGGGCTGTCGGAACTAATTTATTCCCGTTGGACTGTCTTAGCATTAGCTTTTGTTCCTTTTGCTCCATTTAGATGGAGCGTCAGATCCTGGCCCGGGAGAAACAGATGAGGGAGGAAGCGGAGCGAGCTAAAGAGGAGATGGAACGAAGACTCTTCCAACTGCAGGACGAGGCGCGGCTGGCCAACGAGGCGCTGGTGGGAATTTCCTCCCTCACTCGAGACTTTTAGTCCATCTTCTGTTGGACCAACAGGGTTCACTCGACAGAAGTCACAAACAGGATTTGTGATTCATTCGCTTTTTTCTCCGAGGCCGTTTTGTAAAGATGATTGTGGAATGCTTCTTTGCAGCTGCGATCGGAGGAGACTGCAGACCTGCTGGCAGAGAAGGCCCAGATAGCTGAGGAGGAAGCCAAGCTGTTGGCCCACAAAGCTGCGGAGGCCGAGCAGGAGAGGCAAAGGTTAGAGGTCACGGCCATGAAGACCAAGGAGGAGAAAAGGCTGATGGAGCAGAAGATGAGGGAGGCGGAGCAGCTGGCTGTGAAGCTGGTGGAGCAGTCTGAGAGGAGGTGCGATATCATCTTATTCCATCCCATAACTTCTGTTTTGATTTTCTCCATACAATGGATCATTCATTTACTTCATAATGAGTAAATGAAATCCTGATAATCTCAGCATTGCAGTTTCCCAGAAAAAATCACTGTTTTTCTTCTAGCAAGAAACTACCAGATAAATATGTGGTGATGAGCTGAGACAGTCTCTCATGGGCTTAAGGTTGCACTTCTGCTATGGTGCTACACTCGCGAAGTGCTAAAGTCCCTGCTGCAGACGTAGCCTTAAGCTAACTAAGGCAGCCTTGAGCAGAGGCTGGATACAGCTGTGGCAGCTTCACCTCTCAGATTTCTGTTATTTCTGTAGTCCTGTGGTCAACTGATTCTCATTTAAAATAAATTACTTTATCAGATGTCACATGGCTCTCACTGCAGACACAGCAAACCATAGACAACCTCTTCTTACTTGTCAGAACCTCTAAACAAGTAGGATGTTGAAAATTGTTGAAATATTTGAGGTATGGCTCACAATTTGGTGCCGATCCTGGTGACTCTTTTGCTGTGGGTTTAAACCTGTGCTGAAAGGATGACTGACGGGGTGCGGCTATGTCTTTAGAAGCCACAGTTAATGCTGCTGCTCTCAGATTTTATTAACAAAACTGCACAGACCTGATGAAGTTATTTAACGCGGCTCATAATCGTTGGATTTCAAAGGGGGAATGGCAGTTTTTGACCATCAGTGTTTTCTCAATGACCCCACGATAACGAAACAAGAATATGTTTTTAGAAATCACGTGTGCTTATCCTTACTGTTTACAATGTGCTCCGGCTGTGGCTCATTAGGTATAGCTCCTAAAAACAGATCAGCCTGGTTTTTACATAAGGATTTACAGAAGCTCTTTAAAAGAACAGGAAAGGAAGTCCAGTTGCCCTCATTTGAGCTTTTAGGATTGCCATGACCCGAAAGACCAAGAATCTGCTCTGACAATACTGTCCGTCAGCAAAGATCTGACTGAACCTCTGCTTTTTAGGCTGAAGGAAGCGGATCACCTGAAGCAGGACCTGACCGAGGCAAAGGATGCTGAAAGAAGAGCCAAGCAGAAGCTGCTGGAGATCACAAAGACCACCTACCCGGTACTGTGATGATGCTAACTCTGCTTCTCTTTTTTTCTGCTTCTGTTCTCTGCCCCTGCGGATTAATGCAGTTATTTATTCATTCATTCATCTGTTGTTCAGCGGGTTATTGCCGAGTTCCTCGGCAATATGAGGGCTGTTAGAGTGCACTTATTCTAATAACTGAAGGCCATTGATTAGCTGCCGTGGCTTTAGAGGTGATTTATGGGCTCAGAAACTGTAGACAGCTTAAACTACCAAACCCACCAAGCTATATTGTTCAAATGTCTTAAGTGAATTAATGGCAGAAATGCCTATGGGAGCAAACAATTGATGTGTTCTACTTTTTTAAATGAAAGGGATAATGAGCAAAAATTTATATAAATACTTTGCTTTTTTCTCAATTATTTTCACTGAGTGCTCTCATATACCAGGAACAGAACTGACAACAAGATGTGTTCTCCTGATGTTCAGTTCTTTTGCCTGTGTGCAGTTTGCTATCACGCTGGGCTTCAACTCTGTGAACATACTGACTGCTGTGTGTGTGTGTGCGTTTGCCTTTCCTCCAGCTCATAGCCGCCTACTCCACTCCCCCCGCTCCTCCCGAACCGTCAGAATTTGGCTACGAATCAACGTCTTCACGCCTCGACTTCAAAGACTCCGACATGAACAGGCTGTCGATGGAGATCGAGAGAGAGAGGTCAGGGCCGCACCGCGGAAGCATTTTGAGAAAGGCCAGCCGCGTGTTTCCTGACGCCGTGCTGTCGCCCGTCCACACAGGTTGGAGTACATGGAGAAGAGCAAGCACCTGCAGGACCAGCTGAAGGAGCTGAAGTCAGAGATCGAGTCTCTGAAGCTGGAGGAGCAGCAGCAGCAGGCCGGCCTGTACAGCGTCCACAGCGAGGCCAGGGGATACGTCCAGGAGCCCGCCGTCTACCTACCCCACAGCAACGTGCGTCCAAGCGTTCCAACTCAAACCATCAGCCTCTCTTATGACTGATATACTTAAACACGGTTTTGTTTTGCAGCGGAACTCGGCTTACATGTCTCAGATGGCCTACTTCGAAGAAGTGTGAGGGCCGTCCCGCAGAACGAGGAGGAGGAGGAGGAGGAGGAGGAGGAGGGGCACCCTCTCCTTCTGTAGGTGTGCCTGACTGAAGCGCAACAGCCCGAGGTGTGCACGCGCCATAACTGCGTGTTTTGGAGAGACTTTAACAATCCTTAGCAAGCAAACACACCTGCCGCACTGCAGCTCCGTTGCCCTTTCTGCCGTGGATAAAGAACATTCATGTGTGAGCCCATCTATCGCTGACTCAGGATATGGTGCTCAAGGTGGACACACAAAACCAGTTTTTGTCTCTTTTATGCTTTGTATGTGGTTCTAAGGGATACTTTGTCTTAAGATATAGCTATAGAAACATGCCCTCCTGACATTAAGGACACTAATTGTCCTAAGACATTTACACGCCTGGATTAATTTAGTTTCTTTTGTGTCAATTTTCCTTGAAATGAGCATGAGATTAACGACTTCTGAAACTAAGCTTGCACATTGGTTTGGTACACCACATATACCGAGTGTGAACACGGTCTGGAAGTTAACATTAAGCGCATTTACTACAGAGAAACGGTTACATTTTGTGGGGGGAGTTTCATTTAAAACTAAGTGCATTTGTTAGCCTGAGCTAAACCAGACACACACGGCCAGCTGAGGAGCGAATCACTGCAGCATGCACACGCTCATCTGCACTGTACACGGAGCAGAGTTCCATATCTTTGTATAAACAGTAGAGCATAAGTACACTAATGGAGCCTTGAAAGCAGCCCTCATTCACACGTCCTCTTTTCTTTAGACTACTTGACTCGTCTGACATTGCGATTTAAAATCTGCCCGTTGCTTCAGCAGGCCATTGTTCAAATGTCAGTCTGAACTGGTGATGTCATCGAAAGGCTGGGGCCTTCATATCGATATGCAGGTGTGTGCAGGAGACGCTGTGTGTGTGTGTGTGTGACACACTGTAACAGAGATCATTTCAGGGTCTGCCCCAAATTTGACCCCTTGGACCGCTTCACTGTGACCACACAGGAGCCTTTACTGTGTGCAGAGCTGGATTGCGGGAGTTCTGAGACGCGCGTTATACTTACAAGCTTCAACTCTGCCATTTTAAGTTTTTATATTTTGTACTCCAGACCGCTGACGTGCCTTGAGTTACTTTTGCTATACATAGTATTAAGGTGTTCTTTGGTGTCTTTCTGCTCTGACGTCTTAGCATTAAGGGTGCCTTAACTTTAGGCTTGATGTCTTCTCTTTATTAATTTACAGAATAGGTGACTGATGGCATGCCTTTTTTTTCTGAGCCCTTTTTTCTTATCATCCTGAGCTCATGCATATCTCAGGGTCACTGCTGGTAGAATATGAAATGTTTCCCGTGACATATGCAGTGTGATGTTGAAAATGGTTAAAAAAAAAAAAGTTTTAGAGTTTAGGGAGTCAAAAATGGATATTTCTGAACATATTTGTCAATATGTTCTGATAAGACATGAAAATTCTGACACTACTGAAGCAATTAGGTCATTTTCATGTTTAAGGACCCCGACTGTCTTTTTTCCCCCTGTTGTAGACTATAGAAGTCTACTCTAAAAGATGACTTTGCGATATTTTACACATTAGAGATAATTACATTTTTCAAAAGGGATGCCGAACAGTGACAAATGGCGGTGCCATAAGGGGGCTGCCATTGAGAGAAACACTAACCTTGGGCCGGTGTGAATTGCTTGTGTGCTTGTGCTTCAGTTTCCTCATTTTACACTTATTTATTTGTGCTCTGACTCTTCCGGTGCATTTCTACAGTTTTACTAGCTATATTTTTTCTTTCTATGTGTTATTTTTCCAATTTGCAAGTCTATTGTTGATAAATAATTTGAGACCTGAAAACCTTGAGGGTATTTTTACTTTTAAGTGAAAGAAACTCTCAAACAAGTTGTTAAGTTGCCTGTTACGTCAAGCTGTTTTTCAGTGTCTGATCTTAATACAGCACTAACGACACATGGTTGCATCTGTTTAGTTTGCATCCGATTGGGATTGTCGGGTAATTAGAGAATAATTCTTGCTCATAACGTGTCTGTTAACACACGGTCCTAATAAAACAACATCCTTGCCACCAGTGCTGACAGGCAGTCTGCTGTCTTACTCATTATAATGGGCCCTGTTATCTAACCAAGCTCTGCTGGGATATATGGACACCTTAAAGGTGGAAGTGTTGTGTTAGAATGCTGTAATAATTGGATTCTCCATCACTCAGAATTATTTTATATTTACAGGCATATTTGAAGTCTAGTTGAAAGTTAAATCAACAGTCGATTCCAGCAAAGTCTGAGGATTTTTTTTCTGAACTGAAAATTATGTCTAATGCCACCTAAACAAAGTAATTGCAAAATTTGGCATTTTCTCATTCAGGTGTCTTTCATAGAGTAAAGAAATATCGCCCTCCATTGATTCAGTCCTATTACTGCATCTCTGTGTTGCAGTTGTGTTTGGAAAATACACATCCATAGTTTTTAGTCAAGATCCAGGTTTCCATGAAATGCTGTGAATGATAATGAGCTGTGAACACAGCATCATTTCTGATGATTCGCCACTTTTCAGTCTCCTAAAAGGTGTGTCCCACAGGGTTTATACATCTATTGAACTTAAACATTTATCTGGCGGATAGGGGGTCAAGATCAGAATTTTAAGTTGACCTGTTTCAACTCAGCGATACAATTTTAAAACGGATGTGCAGCATCGTATGCTGTGCAGTTATGAGATCAATTATGTGAATATATAAAATTCAGATTTGTTCAGTCAGAACTATAATTTAAGAAAAGATATCTATCTTAACTAATTTAAATTACCCTGTCTAAATAATGAAAATTATTTCCTCAGATTTTTTATTTATTTAACTAAGATAAAGAACCAAATCAGTGTCACTGAGCCCCCTACTTAGTATTTTCTTCTGCACTAAAGAGCAGCCCAACACTTGTTGTGTCTCCAGGTTTGGTTTAAATGGATAAGCAGATCAAACTGTAACGCCTCATGAATTTGGATTTGAAAGATGAAAGTTAGAGAGAAGAGCTTTAATGTTCAGTGATGATTGTTTCATGTCAAAATGGTTTAAAAAAAATCTCTACATGCTCCTTGAATTATGAAGTGTGTCTCTTTGAGTGCTTTCACAGAAAAACACTGTGTACGCAGCTGTGACTGGCTTTTTCTGAATCGATTCAGTGTCTCATCAGCCTGCAGTTTGCATTTTTTCTCAAAGTACAAGGATCTGGCCTTGAATCATTTCTCAAACTGTCAAACAGGAGCACTTGTTGTTTAAGCTAGGTTCAGAGCCCGTACAAAACGCAGCAATCTACAGCTTTCCATTTAGGATGGTGTGTACACTGGGAATCAAGGCTGCTCTTTGTTTGTTATTGTGGTTGGATGGATGTGTGAGTGTTTGTGTGTATCTGTGTGTGGCTCATGGGGAAGGTCTGAGCTTTGCCAAGATGAATGATATTAGAGGGTCTCCAACAACAGCCCAAAGACCAGCGGTTGATTTACTGACCGAGCAGACCACGGAGCCAACCGTCAGTGACATCCGGGCAGAAGGTGGAGCTGGCCGAGCGTGCAGGTGGAGGAGAAGAGAGCTGACATGGTTTCCAAAAAAACCTATGAAAAGCTGCACCAGACAGAACATTTGGGTAAGGACTTTGCTGTTATACGTTTATGTGCAGGTAGATCAACGAACAGTTCAGCTTTTAGAGGTATTCTGGAAGTCCTTTGCATAGAGTCACACAGCTTGGACGCTAAAGATGTAGGACAAAGAACAAAAAAAGTCAATAATGGAAATCAGATATGTGATGCTTCACTGGATTCATTTTTTTATTTATCTTACTGCTTTAAACTAAGCTTGTAAGTATAACACAGATTTTTACTTTTGCCTTTCCATTCGCCCCCTTTTTAATTATTATGTGATGGAAAATAATCGGCTGGACTTGGTGTTTCACGGTGACAGAAGAAGAAAAAAGTTTCCCCACTATGTTCTGCAGTATGTCTCAATTTCAGCACTGCATCTGCTCGGATGAGATTATGGCTGCGTGCTCACACACACACACACACACACACACACACACACACACACACACACACACACACACATACACACACAAACACACACGTTTTTCAAAGAACTAAAGAAGAATGGTGATAAGTAAATGAAGTGCTCCCCACAGGGACTTAGCACCATGAGATGTCCAGCAGTAACATAACTATCAGACTGAGGAGAATAAGTATCATTTAGAGAGTTCAAACCGCCCGGAGATGGGTTTGCAACTCTTTAAGTCTGGACACCCCGAGACTGTTTCTCTCATCTGTTTAAACTGTCCTGCAGCATTTGGCACTCAGATTAAAGCGAGAGGGGAGAACAGACGGGGGCACGCTCAGAGCCAGTCAATTGTGTTCTAGGCTGAGGAGACAGGGAGGGCCACAATGGTAGAAAAGAGTTAAATCGCTTCCTGCACCGAGAGACACTGTGAACCTGCCTTTGAAGGGGTTTTGCTAAGAAGGCATTTAAAGGAGAGGAATAATTGGATGCTAAAGGCTTAGTATCAGCACAAGTAATATGCAGACCTCATTCTTTCTATGAATGTGAGGCATGTGGAGGAGGTAGAACTGGGCTGTCATCTGATGAAATCACATCCTCTAGTTTTCTCCCACTCTGCATCTTCCATTTACTATACACACACCCCTTTTTTTAAATTAAGATTTGTACTTAAGGACAAAAAACAGTTTTCCCTAAAGCACCAGTGGATCTAAAAAGTACAATCTGTGCTTTTCAGGGATATCGATGCTGTCATGGCCGTGCTGCTCCACAGCAAATGAAAGCGAGCCGCCTCCCTGCCTGCTTCCTCACAAAGGTGACTTTTTGAACAGTGAATGAATGTCTGAAAAAAAGAAACTGCTGAATGTGATCCCTTTGCCCTACACTGCAACTGGGCCACAGCTTAAAGAACAGAAGGATGAGCATGAGCAGGCTCATCCCCGTTCATCCTTGTTAGATTTATGGTAATTGGCTGGATTAAAGTTGTCTGACCAAAATGACACACCATTGTCAAATTAATCAG